CATTTTAAGTGAAAGAATTCTTACATTTAAGCAAACACTAGCAGCATAATGGACCTATTTTAAGTCTGTTTCAGTTGTCAATAGAGGTTTAGCATTAAATGAAGCAGCCAGCTTGTTATGACCACTTATGAAAATGTGACAAATGCTCTTCCAGCAGGACTTTACACTACTTGGGCTGTTGCAATGATTCAGAGTCTCCCATGGTGTCTGTAATGAGATGAACCTTGAGGTTAAAGAAATATAGAGAGGATATGCTGAGCTGAATGAAACTTCCTACACACAGAGGTTGTGCAAACATAAATTTGCATCTCTGAAATGAGATATCAGTCTGTGACAGCAGGACAATATTTGCCACTAGTGGGAGGCCTGTGGAATAAGTCTACAGGGGAACACACCCTGGAAAGTGCTCTTTCAACATGGAAAGTGCCTTAGAAATCCCTCCAGGTTTTTCCTCTCATTTATCTTTGGCAAACCACAGTGAGTGAGCATTAGCATTAGTCACTACAAGTATTAACCATTTCAAATGAGATTTCTCTGACGTATATATCACTTCCCTTTTGTTAATTAACTGGAGATTTTAAAAGTGTGCAATCCAAAAAAGACTAAAGCACAGGTATTGAATTGGATTGTATGGCATTGTTACAAAGACTACAAATAAGATGTTAAAGTCACCAGGCCAAATCATCAAGGAGCAAACTTGGAGATAGGGGAGATTTTTTTGGTGCTGGGATAAGCATCCTACATACATCTATTTCTAACTGTAGTTAGAAATTCTAAACATGAAGCTTAATAGAGTCTTTCATATTCTTTCTCATCTCTTAAAAGCAATGCTTTTTTGTTTATTTTTTGTTACTACGTGTCACTTTTTTCTCACCAGAATCATCTTTCCCCACTTCATTGAGAAACAAAACACTGCTGTTCTTCCTTTAAACCCTGATGGCTCCTATGCCATTAGAAGAGCTGACAGACAGTGTAGGGGACAGAGGGACACCAGAGCCCAGTGCACTCAGCCACAGTCAGCACTAGGACAAAAGTCAGCTGCAAACCTACAGCAGTGACCTCATAATATTTAATTAGAAAGGAAAATCCTTAGAGAGTTCCACTGACAAAAGAGTGGTCCCTGTCCTCCACTGATGATCCAGAAGGAAAATATAAGGAAAACTAAATGACCTACTTAAGGTATAACCTGTTCTTCTGTAGATCTTTCTGTTCTGCTGTCATTGAATGAAACACAAAAGTTTCCTCCACCTTCCAACACCTGACTGCTTTGCATGCCTCAGCTGGGAGAGCAGAGTGTGCTTTGTGCCAGTAAGAGGGAGAAAGTAAAAGCTTGTTCAATCAACCCAGTCCTCAGATAACCAAACCTAGTCCTCAGAGAGTGAGAAACACCTTTATCTGGAAACCTCCCAAGATCTGGGAGAGATTTTTGCAAGAGGCACAGAGCAAATCAGAGAGCTGCAATGCAGGGCACTGCCATGCAAATAAGGATGCCTGTAAAGCCTTGGCAATGCTTCCAAAGGGACACCCACTGCAATCAGGTGCTCCTTGCTCAGCCTCTCACAACTACATCAGTGATCTCTCACCTAGAGTGAATTCAGCATCTAACCTGTAACCAAAAGGAGACAAACCAGCCAGTGACCTATATTGCAGAAAGGTAATGCAACCTAACTTTCCCTGGCCAGTAAAAGGAGATTAAGAAGGTAAATGCCTTAAAACCAGCATTTGCTCAGACTTCTTTGTTTACAAAAGGTACATAAAGCATGGCCAAAGTAGGTTCAACCAGTCTTTATAAACTCATCACAGGACTTCTGTGTGCTCCATACCATGTTGGTAGCACATTATAACAAGAGGTCCAGGTCTTGTTGGTGCCCAAGTGTGCCAACACAAAAATGCTGCCTGTAAGAAAAAAGAATTAAACCCCCTCAAAATGTCTCAGGGTGATGATTAATGGCACAGCTGTTTGTTCCAGCTCCTGCCCTGCTACCAGCAGCCACTACCCTGGCATGGTGCCAGTGGCAATGGGCACTCCAGTGACAAGAGTTAAGAAGAGTGAATAGGTAAAAAGGGTAGGCATTATCCTTAGGTAAGGTACAGCATAGTAAAAAATAGCCTTATAGCATTACTTTTTAATAAGGAAGCAGCTGTAAGTGTACATTTAAACCAAGTACCTGTGACGTTAGTTTGAATGTATTTCCTAACCTACCCCTTGGAGTAATGCCCTTAGTACCTTCTATCTAAATATTCCAGTTCAAGCTTTGCATATTCATTTTTGTGTCTCAGATCAAAATCACCTGAGCCCAGGATGTGAATGTCTTGCTACGTCAGGAACCTGGGGCAAGATTCAGCTGAGACACAAGTCATGGAAACACTCACCCACACACTGTGGGATTCAGGGCCAGCCTGCAGAGAGCAGCTCGTTCCCAAAGTGAGCGTGCAGTACACGAGAAAAGATAAAGATCAGCTGATCCATATGTCAGAACATGAACTTGTCCTGTGAGTACTCTTGGGTCTGAGAAATCTGACAGAAATACACTTTATTCTAACTGCCATCGAAACCTTTCTGTGCATAGGCTGTATTTGGCCACAAATGGAGAAAAATCTTCAGTATTTTTCTGGAAGGAAAGTATTTTTCTGGAAGGAAAGTATTTTTCTAAAGGAAGTGATAGCCACAGAAAATTTTCTTTGCTATCACTTCCTTTAGAGAACAAAGTACACATTCTTCAAATAGAATAAGCTATCAGTTTGACTGAAGAAGCCTCTTTGTCTGAGTTGGGCAGGTGTCAAGAAGCAGATGTGATTTGGAAGCTGATGTTCAGTGCCCAACCAGACAGAGAAACACCTCATGCTGCCACCATGAGCCTTTCAGCCTTGGTGCCATCCTGTGAAACACCAGGGATAATATCAGGATTGAGTCCAAGGGACAGCAGAGGCAGAAGGGAGTATCAAGATGACAAAGGTTTTCAGTCTTGTTCTTTTACTGCCTTTCTTCCCTTCTCAGAATTTTCCTATCTCCTTGATTCATTAGAGACTATATTAGATTAATTTTTCAGGATACACCACTACCATAAAACTCACCTTTCCTCCACTCTTACAGAATCTTCCCTTTCCCAAGTGAACAGAATTGCGATGCCAGCTAGAAACAGATTGCCCAGCCCACCCTCCAAGCAGAACAACATTTCTGCATCTGACTACACTTGGTGAAAAGAGTGTAGTTCCCTTCAAACCCAGCAGCTAAGCTCTGCTGCAGGATCCTTATAGCATAGGGCTCAAGTTGACCAAAAACTTGCATAAGCTTACAGTCTTCTATTTGGCATTCAAAAGTGAATCAGTGAAAAAGCATGAAATTTTAACTACAAACAAGATGGATTGAAGACTATGGGAAAGAAGAAATAAAGGATAAAAGAGGATCTGAAAGCAGAGAAACCAATCATCAATGCCTGGAACTTACTTAAATCATTCTTTCTAATTATTGCACTACAGGAAAAACAGAATTTTGCAGTTTTTCTCAGTGTCAAGAAATTTGAGTTGGATTCTTCAGTAAGTCAATGCAAACCCCAAGTAACACCGTTCCCCTTAAGAGTTCTCTGCATTTTAGCAAGCGTTTGTGAGAATAAAACCAAATGCAGGTATTCTCACTGTTCTCTCAGAGGGGCCGTCACCTCCTATAGCTGCAGGGTCAATGGAACAGGAGAACCAAGATAACTCCGGGATCAGTATCAGCAGTGACTGATGGCTGGGAAAGAGCCCTAAGGAGTTATTACATTCCTTCCAGGAGTTAGTTTCACACGCATTAGAGAGGCTGCCAGCATGTGAGGAGTGTCCGATGATGCACCATGCGTCACAAGGTTCAGCTGGAGAGAGTCCTGTGAGGAGCAGGAGTGGAACATGATGATCCCCATGGCTCCCTCCCAGCTCTAGGTGTCTCATGACCCCAGAAGCGCACAGCACTGCCCCAGGCAGGAGGAGATGGTTTCATGGACAAAGGCCAACAAAAAAGCTATAAAGGCAAGAGGCAGGGATGGCCCCTCTAACATCACTAATCCTGTAATATTGGATTGTTGAGGGATAGAAGGCAAAGGCTGCAAAACCTGGCCAAGAGTGAAGGCAAAGGTGGCTGAGCTGAGACACTTGTCTGACCCAGCAAGGAATGTCATACCTTTTTCATATTCATGTATGGGTCCATAAAATTACTGTTCCATTTTACTGTGTGTGAACCAAGGTGCTGCCTTCCTCTGGTTGGATAATTCACTGTTATTTACAAATATTTACACATTTTCCTACTGTATCAGTCATATTCCTAAATAATTATTACAGCACTCATTCCAGACCTACATGCTGTGAGACCAGGGTGGGAGTGGATCTAAATTTGTGTAAATACTTTTGGTGAAAATCTGTACATTTCACAGAGTGTACTCTGCTGTTGTGAGTCCCACAGAAACTTCTGAAGCAGGCTATAGGGCAGCTATCCCCATCTTCAGCAGCACTGTAAGAACCTGTCAAGGCAAAAAATCTGACAAATTTGCCAGCAAATGAGTCAAGAGGAAGTAGAGCAGGGTGTTTTACTTTTTACCTTTTAAATTTTTAGAATAGTTTGAAACCCCATGTAAGTGGTGTGGATACCTTCCAACCTTACAGCAGTGGTATTTGCTCAACCTCACCTCTGTAACTACCCACGCACAGCTACTGCTCCCTCTTTAATATAGGTCAGTTTGAGGTACAGATGGCTCCCAAGCCACATATCCTGTCAAATAGACCCAAAATTCTTTGGGAACAGAACTTCCTCTCTTGATTTTGTGCCAGTCAGGCACTAGACTGTAGTTTGGGTCTTGATTCACTGCTGCCTTGGGGAAAAGTCAGGCCAGGATTATTTGGCTGTTCCTTTAAGGGTGCTGAAAGAAAGCCAGCTGGAGGCCTTTCCAAAGGAGGTGTCAGAGCAAGCTGTAACACTAGAAGAACAGGAAAAGCACAAAACCCAAACAGAGTCCAGTAGCTGCAATACACACAGGACAACCAGAAGTAAGACTGGGAATACCAATAGGAGGCTTTTCCCTTGGAAGTAAGAAAGGAGGAGCTCCAGCACAGAAGGTATGATTATATATGAACTTTAGAAATATGAAATCCTGCAATGACAAGGGAAAGTGGGAGGAAAGAAGAGAGCAATTCAGTGGGGAGCTGGGGGGCTGTGTTAGGCTGTGTGTAGAAGAGCTGACAGCTCTGGCACCAAGAATTGCTGAAGGAAAAAAGAAACAGAGGATTTTTTTGTTGCAAAACACCACCAAGGCATCCTAAAATCTCTTCAAATGTGAACAAAACCTAGATTTATAAAAGACAAATTGACCACATGGGATGACTGAACAAGGAACAAATTGGATCCTTGCCCCTCAAGCAGCAAGGCAGAGCTGTGTTTGTCAGAGGTTTGTGGTTAGGAATGCAGAAAGGAGGGCTTGTACAGCAGCTGCACAGCTGGAGGGGCTTCCCCAAGGGCTGGGGTGTGAGTGGAACACAAGGCCCAGGGCAGGTGAGGTGACACCCCCTCCCACTCCCCAAGGGCAGAGTGGGCTGCCCTGAGAGCCCTCAGCCCCCTGCCCCTCCCAGCCCAGCACCAGTGACAGGTTTTTCTGCGCAGCTCCTTGTATCAAGGGGGAAACTTCTCACCTCACCTACCAGCCTAACCCCGGCAGCTCAAATGGCAGAAGTGCAGATTAGAGAGGTACAGGTGCAGCCCCAAACCCTGAACAGCGCACAGCTGGCACTGGAGGGATGCAGTGACCAGGACACACCTCAAGTTCTTCTGTGTATGAGAGAAACCATGAATTCCTGCACAGGATGGCAAAGCCCTGCCACCCATGGGCAGCATCCCAGGGGCAGCACAAGCACCCTGCAAGCCCTGCAGAGGCAGCAGCTGCCCACTCACCTCCCGAGGTGTGTGTGACATTTTGACAGGCTACATGAGACTTGCTGCCCTTGTTTCACACAGCCTGCTGGGGGTGAGCAAACAGGGCAAGACCTGAAACAGGGCAGAGAATCTAGGCTGGAAAGGGAAAAATATGCCCTGGCTACGTCCCAAAGCTGACTTGTACAAATGTTTCTCATTACAGTGTTAGAGATGGTCTCCACCCCGCTCTCTGGTGTGATTCTCTCAGAATCACACAAAGCATTCCCATGGCACTAGGTGCTGTATTGCTTTAATAATTACCACGTGGGAGGGGAGCAGGGGATGTTATGGTGACTCAGTGAGCACGATCCTGGGCAGGGCCCAGACTGGTCCTGCCAGAGCCACGTTTGCAGCAGGCTGATGTTCCAACAGCCAGGAGGAAGGAGGGGCAGAAATGCTTCTTTCCTGGAGCAGCACTCAGTGTGTCAGTCCTCCCCAGCTCGTTTGCCTTGCTGGGGCCACCTTGCCATCTAGTGGTTCACACTGCAGAGCTGACACAGAGCTGGGTTCCTTCCTGCTGCAATCCTGTAATGCCCATGCTTTTGGCCTTTATGCACCAAAGGAAGAACTTCAAATTCCCTTGGATCTGCACTCATTTCTTAGTGTGTCAGGCTGTCAGTAAAACATGCTGTCATAGCATGAAGTTAGAAAAGAAGATGCATAATGCCTACTGCCTTGTACATATCACATCCTATAAAAAGGATCCTCTGCCCATCCTACCTGAAGTGATATACTCATCAGGACATGACTGCTTTGGGCTGAATAGACCTTCCTTCAGCTTTTACAAAAAAATTTTGTGAAAAAAACACTACTTCATTTTTAAGATTTTTATAAGATTCATTTTTTGCCAAAAAAAGAAAGAGTTATCAGTAGGGAAGTAGATAAAAGTCAAAACTGGAGTGATAGAAATCCCACCTGCTAATATACAAAGTCCAAAGGGCTCCAAAAGATAAACTGCACACATTAAGATTCTTGACATTGCCTATACTAACATGAATATGGATGTTAACTTCCTTTGCATGTCCCCTTTACACCCATTTTGACTTTTGTTTGGGCTCTGTCCAGCAGAGTTGCAAATTTTAATTTATTCCACCACCTCACCTAGTGACAAGAACAAAAATACCTGCTTCATTTCATTTCAGCATGAACTGTTAACCTTCTGTGACCACGTTTATAAATGGAAAATATTATGTCTGTATCCAATATGGACTTCTCATGCAGATAATCCCAGATGAGAGTCTGGCTTGATATCATTTCTGTATTTCTTAGCAGCTCCGTCTGCTAGGCTCCAGAGTTATCTTTGTCATTTAAAAAGGTGCTTGGCTGTGATCAGTCACAGAGTCAAGGGAAATCTCAGTACTCAGCTGTCTTCAACCACTTCAATCTAGAAAGGCTTTTCCTGTGTTTATCTTGCTCAGTGCAGATAGAATGACAGGGTAGTTTGTCTTCCAGTTAAGGATCTTCCAATTCATTTTTTATGCCCTTTCTACAAAGAGAGCAGCAGACAAATGTAAGGAATAGCTATTCACTTTAACATTATAAATAAAAATTCTTTTGAACCGTCAACCTCTAAAGAGTACTCCTTAGCATTAGAAACCACAAAATAAAAATCAGTTACAAGATCTCTTTGCACTTGCATGGGCAGTGTCATTATTCTAACAAACTTTATCCTCAGCTTTGCTGCAGAGGCCATGGGCTGCTGGAAGCAAGAGAAGACCAGCACCTGGTTTTTTCCCACCCTGATCCTCTGCCTCTATGGATTCTTCTACATGATGAAACCATCAGAACCTTTCCTAACACCCTATCTAACAGGACCAGATAAAAACCTGACCACAGATGAGGTATGGCTTTATTCTATGATTTATTTTAACTGTAATGAAAAGAGAAATGGAAAACACTGTTTAATTTTTTTAAAAGGATGAAAAGAAAAAAAAAAAGCACAAATTTAACTAGCTCCGACAGGTTGCAATTTGCAGCAGACTGCATAAATAAAATATCCATTTAACGGATCCAAGATCCATTTGCCTGCCCAACAATCCCATGCTGATTCAATGTGATTATATATTTTATGAATTCCTTCAGAGAAAAATCTTCCCTCTACAACACCATTTAAAATACATGAACTTCCTTTCCTCAACAATAAGAACACTGACATTTTCTCTTCTGTTCTAGGTTACCAACCAGATTTTTCCAGTCTGGACATACTCCTACCTGGCTCTCCTTTTCCCAGTGTTCCTGCTCACAGACTACGTGCGCTACAAGCCCGTCCTCCTCCTGCAGGGCCTCAGCCTCATCGTCACGTGGCTGCTGCTGCTCTTTGCACATGGAGTGGTGGCCATGCAGCTGGTGGAATTCTTCTACGGCATGGTCACAGCCACCGAGGTGGCCTATTACGCCTACATCTACAGCGTGGTCAGCAGCCAACACTACCAGAGGGTCACCAGCTACTGCAGGAGCGTCACTCTGGTGGCAGCCACCGTGGCCGCCGTGCTGGGACAGCTGCTGGTGTCCTTAGCAGGCGTCTCCTACTTCCACCTCAACGCCGTCAGCTTGGCTTCCGTGTGCCTGGCGTTCGTGTGCGCGCTGTTCCTGCCCACGCCCCAGAGGAGCATGTTCTTCCACAGGAAAGATGGCCCTGAGCCTGTGCCAGGGCCTGGCAAAGGGCTGGCCGTGGGCACTGCCCCCAGGCCCCAGAGCTGCCAAGAGGAAAGGAGCCCTGATGCTGCTGCCGGGGCCCCGAGCCCCCAGCCCCAGGCCGGCAGGGCCGGGCCCCGCAGGCACCTGCTGGGCGTGCTGCTGCAGCTGGGCAGGGACCTGAGGCACTGCTACGGCTCCCGCAAGCTCCTCTGCTGGTCCCTGTGGTGGGCTCTGGCCACGGCCGGCTTCAACCAGGTGGTGAATTATGTGCAGGTGCTGTGGGACTTGCGAGCCCCCTCGCACAGCTCCGCAGTGTACAATGGAGCTGTGGAAGCCATAGCAACATTTCTGAGTAAGTCAGTGTTTAAACATTGATCACAATGACAGCCTCTGAAGTTTCACTTTAGTAAACTTTCTAAGTGCCATTCCATTGCAGGCGCTCCAGGGAGCCAGTGCACACCCTGTGCATTCCAGACCTAGGTCTTTGATGTACAACAGTTCAAATGTGAGTTATGTTGGTTTTTCTTTTATAGCCGACAAATAACTGTATTTTACCAGTATGCAGAAAGTGTGCAAGTCACACAGACATTGCATCTAGCTGGTAAATCCATTCAGAAGCACCCCTGTTTCTTTGGATGAGGCTATTGGGTGTTGGAATTTTTTCCCCCAAAGAAAATATTGCATTGTTTCCATAACAGTGCTATCAGCTTACACAGATAAGAGAAATTTTCTGTAAAAATTTTACACAAAATGAACATAATCCTCTCTTTTTTTTTTTTCTAGTGAAATACCCTTGTGCAACCAGACAAAAAGAAAAATTTTAGTCATTGCATGATACAAAAATTTTCAGAGGAAAAAAGACCCTATGAATCCTTACAATACTGATCTGAACCATTCCATTTTTGTACCAGGAGCATTGCTCTCATCACACATGCAAAGTGAGGTTATCAAAAGGTAACATCAGAGGATACCACCCTGCCTTGGCTCACATTGTGCTATTGTAAAGAACTTGCACAAGATGTGGGGGTGTGTTTTATCAGGAAAAATAAACACATCTGCACCACACCTGATCATTCAGGTCACCCTTACAGTCTTTAAGGAGAAACAGATACCACTCTTGCAGTAGGCAACAGACCACATGAATCATGAATTTGAAGACCTCCTGTAGTATCTACTCCTTGATGAATTTCTCTCTCATGGACTTGCCTAGTTCTCAGTGTATAAGTATAGAAGTTTTAAAATATAATTTATAGAAGTTTTTAAAAGGGTCTGGGACCCCTAAGATGGGCAGCCAGGTGGCTTAACTTTGCAACAGATGCATCTTCTAGGAGGTCCACAAAAAGCAAACCTATCCTTTCTTTTTCCTTGGATATACTTCCTTGATGCCTCAAAACTCACTTTTTTGACAGTTTATCTCTCTATGAGGTGCACAGAGCTAAACTGTTCAATAGAAGGTTTACTAGCCTAACTAGGAGAAGGTGGAAGAATTTCCTTCTTGAACTCCAAACCATGTTCCTAATTCTCTCCCCAGAGAGCCATGCTGTGTACAAACACCTAAATAATGAATCTTCCTACATTACAGTAAATTTATCCTGTGAAGTGGAATAAAGCACTAAGAATGGAATGGCATAGACTTGATATATGCAGTTGTCTTAAAATGACCAGTCATCTGCACAGCTGCAGAAGTCATCAGAAATGCTTTCACACTTCAGACTGCTTCATTATTCAGCATAGCCTTTTAGTATGTGAGTGTGGCAGGACTTGGTCATACAGGCTGTGGAGCAGATACAATATTTACATGTATTTTTTTCTCTTTTTCTAGGCTCAGTAACATCTTTCCTGGTACAATATATGCAGATTGACTGGGACCATTTTGGAGAACTGGCTTTAGGGATCTTCTCTGCAATAGATGCAGGTTGTCTGTTTCTCATGCATTTCTCTACCAGCATCTGGGTATGTTATGCTGGATATCTCATTTTCAAGGCATGCTATGTGCTCCTCCTGACAATAGCAACGTAAGTACAAAACATCACAATGCATCATCCTCATCATGCACAGAATACTGACCCTACTCTGAGCTTGCTTTGGGCATCCTTTTCCTCAGAGGTAGCTGACCTAATGCTTGACATAACTGTTTAGGTAAGGACAAGCACACTTAAATGTCTGGTTATGTTGTTTTCATTCTTCCAAACGACCAGGAGAGAAAAATTGTCAAAAGGACATTGAACATTTACCTAAGCAGAAATTAAACAAAGCACAAGGTAATGTTATTATTAAAGGCAATGGTAACTGCAAAATGTAGAAGCCATTTTCCTCCTTCGTGGCATGAAAGATGCAAAATGAACAATAGGGACAAGCATATCTTGACAGCCATCCTTTAGGATCACCATATGCCTAGACCCCCTACTGATGACCCTGTTAGCATGTCATGAACTGCTTGAATGCAGGAAAAGACTCCACATAAAGTGTACCCCAACATAATTTTATTCAGTTGATCATTGATGATATTAAGATGTAAAGAAGGAATGAAAGGGAACATAGGACATATAAACTCACATGAGATCTCATAGAAGACCAAGCTATTCTGTTGTCAGAAATAGAAATGCATAAATAATATTGACAACAAATATTTCGTCCTGTGTAATAAATATGAAATGTTATTCCTCCAGTAATTTTCTTGTTTGGAATGTCTTGAGACATACCACACTATTTTATTGACAAAAACACTGGATGCATTTTGTGTCAAACTCCAAAATTAATCAGATACCACTTTAAAAAACTGCTACAATTACAATGCATGGCAAGGTTATGCCTATCTTGAAGGAAGTCAAGTGAGCTCTTAATTGTCATTTTTGTAGATTGTTATTACATTATAGTTAATCACACCTGAACTATTTCAATATATTCTAAAAAAACCCCAACAAAATCTTGCAAAAAAACTCCCAAGCTAAAATTGAAAATGAGTCCTGAAGGATTAACACCCTTTTGTTTGTATAGAAACTTTGCAGGTATATATTGCAAAGAAAGATGTTTTGATTATTGTCAAAAAAGATACTGCAAGTAAAAATCTAAAGGCTCTTGACAGAAATAAGGAGCATGCTACCTCCACTGTCAAATCACAAAGCAAAATGTGACTTATTACCATGGAAAGCTTGGTTAGAAGATACCCAGAGTGACCTCCCAGCCAGGGCAGAACTGCTTCAGTGCTAGAGCAAATCACAGCTTTGCCTGGTCTCTGAAAGCTTCCAGCCATGGACTCTCTACAGCCTGTCTGGCACAGTCTGTGCAGGCAGAGAAGGAGCAAAGGGGAAGGGTACAGAGAGCTGACATTTTACCTGATCATCTGAAAGCAAGGGTTAGAAAAGCAGCCCATGCAGTTCAAAAAAACCCATTAAAATACACTATGGTACCCCAGATTTATTTTTTTTTAGAGAAAGAAATGAAGCAAACAAATGAAGCACCATTTCTTCTGTCCTTGATGGACCATCTGCATGAATCACTTTCTCTTCATCAACTGCTAGACAGCAATAGCTTTCCCAGGGGCAGTGACTGATCTGCCAGTTTCCTGTTAGGTTCCAGATCGCCATCAATCTGAGCATGGAGCGCTATGCCCTGATGTTTGGATTCAACAACTTCATTGCCCTGCTCATCCAGACCATTCTCACAATAGTTGTTGTAGATTCAAGAGGCCTGGGACTGGACGTAGTGACTCAAGTAAGTGCAGTTACCTTACTTTCCTACTTACTGCTCAGCCAAGTCATCTTCAAAATTCCTATGCTAAGGGCAACTTAATTATCCTTCCTCTATAGAAATCCAGACATCTTGTTCTTCCCTTGTCATTCTTCATCACTATTTGTCATCATTCTTCCCTTTTGCCTTTTAAAACATTTAGGACTACAGATGCTGGACTGTTAGTTTTCAAAGGGAGATAAACCAGAACATAACTAACCAGGCCCTGCTATCCAAACAGTTTTAGTAGTTAATAGGACACCATCCTCTCTTCCCAAAAGCTCAGACTGGTTTTGTCAGATGCAGAATGGGAGTTCAGGACTGTTCTTATCCCTCTCCCTGTTGGACGTTTGTCAAGAGGCATAAGGAATGAAAGGGCAGTTCTTCGTTTCACAGTTATCTGCTGCATACTTGAAAAGCTGAGATTTTGCTTAATCACAAAGCAAAAACTCAAGTGTAGAGAAACTGCCAGAACACAAGAGAATCAGAGTGACTGTCATCTTCAGAAGAAGCAGCATTTCCCTAATGTGTTTTTCATTAATTGTTCTGCCTTTTTCTCCTCCTCTCCCAGTTTTTAATTTATGGCAGCTACTTCGCAGTCATACATGGGATTTTCATGATCAGAAGCATTTGTGTGCTGGTCTCACGCAAATGCCAAAGGAAAATAGTGAGATCTTGCACGGAGCAGCTGAACCAGGCTGAGCACGAGTCAAGAGAGCAGATTGTCACAAGCTACATGACACGGCTGTAGGAGGCAGGCAGGCTGGAGAAGGGCTTCTCCTGGGAGAAGGGCTCCCAGCAGGGAAGAAGAGCAGCATGCAGGGAACAGCAGTGCAAGAAGAACGTTCAACTGAGCCCTGAAAAGCTACGCTGAATCATTCCAGCACTTCAGCACAACATATGCCAGCAGAGAGCTCACCAGAATGGCGCTGTGCCAAGAATAAAAGATAAGTTTCTTTAGATTCTTATTTACATGTATATAAATAGCTTAAGGGCAGTAAGTTATACACAGAATCAGAGCAACCACCTTTGCCTCCCCACATGCATGATGGCAGAGAGCAGAGTTCACCCTGCCTTGCTCATTGTAGCTCCTGAATGTGGTGCTGGCAAAGCTGCTTCTGTCACATTTGCTGATGCAGTGGCTGAGGGTGTGACTCCCCTTTGCACAGACCTTGTTCTGAACCAAGGAAGAAAAGATCATGTTTGCATCATTCTATTCTTTCATACCCACTACAGGCAGATGGGGGACAGGCTCCTCCTGTCTCACCCACAGCTCAGTGCACACAGGCTGCAGAAAGCTGGGCTTGCACAACCTGTCCTGGGAGCTTCACTGCGGCACTGCAACATCACAGTTATTGCTTGGCCCACATTTGAGAGCTACAAACACTGTGCTGACTTCACAGCAACCTCTGCCGAGAAGGGAATAATTCCAGAGTCCAAGCAAAGGCAAGAGCACCTTTGTGCTTCCAGTAAAATTAAACTCAGGACTGACTATCTTCCTCTTTCAGCAGGAAAAAAATAATATGAAAGGGCTTAAGTAGCACAGATTAAAACCAGAGAAGGACATTGTGGAGAAATTTAGCTGATTCCACAGAGGAAAATTCCAGATTAACAGGAATATCCAAGATTTATAACTGAAACAAACAGTGAGCATCATGTGTGTTTTTGAGTGCCAAGTGAGGGAGGTCCACTGATCTTGGCCAAGAATTTGGCAGGATCAGCCAAACTCATGTCAAGAAGCTCCAAGTCCTACAGCTAATTTTGTCCAAAGGACAGTCCAGGAGAAGAAAAAAGACACTAGAAATGAGTTTGCATAGTGAATGTCTAATTTAATATGAACCATATCCATATGCTGAAGTTATTTCTGTACTGCTGTTTGCTTCTAGCTTCCAATATCTACATCTAACTAATAAAAACCACTTAGCATTTACAGAATATTTTTCCTGTAGAGACACAAGCCATCATTTGTACAGAGATACCAGCTTTTCATACCACTGTCACACACTGCAATACAGACAAAGTGCCCAGAGGCAAGGACAGGACTGAAGCAATTTGTTTCAAGTCACAAGAAGAATCAGTAGGATCTGACAAAATGAACCTGGCTAATTTTTTAGGCCTTTTGTTTACTACTGTGCATTGTGGGGACATTGTCTGTTTTAAACTGGCTCTAAGCAGAACAGTTTAATCATTACAGTCATAAAAATAGGAGATGCACTTAGTCTCCAGTGTCAGTTCATTTCTTACTGCAGAACTGAGGGCATGATGCTCCTGCCTGAAGAAACAGGGACAGAATCCAGGAGAGTAAGGACTATTTTTCTCTTCTCCCTTGTGAGTAGCAATCTTCTTTTGAGGCATTCAGTTTAGAACTAGATGTCAGTCCCAGACTAGAAGTTAACAAGAGCTTGTGTTTAAATCAAAAAGAGGAACTTCATATTTTCACTTCCATTCTTACATTCTGGCTAGAGCTAACTGCTCTCTGTGTCTGTAGGATGCCACTGAGGAGCAAAGGACTGAGCAGACACAGTGTATTTGGCTTGCAGCTTTAGAGAAAACCATCTTCAGAAAACAGATAAGACTTCAAAGAAAAAATCCATTCCTATTCTCTCTAATCTCCAAAATAATGATTCTGAGGTTGGAAGTTGGCAGGAAGCATTATGGGGGTGTTAGGAGGAGAAAGACAAATCCTTATGTTATCCTGGGTTTTCAGCTGCAGATCAGAACTCACCCAGCAGTCAGAGGTTTCTAAAAGAGTAAGATGTACACTTGCACCTGTGTGTTTGTGTACCTACATGCACACACACTATGGAGAGGAGATAGTTGAGACTTGGCAGGTTACAAGGAAGGCTGGAACCCCAGGCTGTCTAGTTCTGTGGAAGAAGGAAATTCTCAACATCCACTTCTCCTAGCAACTTTTAGTACTGCTTTTCTTCCAGCATGTTAAAGGTTTCCAGGCAAACATGGAACTCCAGAGCTGGTGACATTCCTCCCCATAGCTGCAACCCCTTCTAAATACACCACTAATTACCTTTGAAACTTTAGTGGCTTTGGGCACAAATCTTCCGTGAAGATACAGCCCAGCAAGCTGGTAAGGCCAGTTTGAGCAAACAAGGAACAAATGTGTGTTTGTGTTCAAAACATGCAGGTACTGCCCAAGCACTGTGTGGGCTACCAGAGAAACAGGAGCCAGCAGCCCTTTCAGCCCCTTCCCTTCCCAAGGTCCTTTCCCTGCCTCAAAGCCCTTGGCCAGGGAGGAAGACGAAGGGCAGAGGCAGGTCCAGCTCTCCTGAGCATTTCCTGCCTGCTTGCACCAATTTCAGCCCTGAGGGAACCTCCCATACCTGCAGGACCAGACCAGGCTCTGTCAAGCTCCCAAAGGGCCTCTCCTGCCAGGGCCTCAGCTTCTGTTCCCAGGGTCAACACACGTCCTACCAACAGGTTTCAGGGTGAACTCCAGCCTCTGATGAACCTTGGAAGATGCAGGCAGTACAGTCTAAAAAAAAATGGGTAAAGGAAAGCAAAGCAGCAGCATTCCTCTGAAACAAGCCTGGTAATTTTTTAGCTAAGAACCTAGATTTAGCAGTTGAATTTAATCCCTTTGTCCTTAAATGACAGATCTGTTCCTATACAGAAGTAGTTCCAGGCCAACTAACAGTAGGAAGCATTTGCTGTCCCACCTCCCATAGCCCCAGCAGAGCCAGGACAGTCAGAGATGCCCCATGAGCCCAGAGGCCTCTGTGCTGTGCACGGGACAGGGACAGTTAGTCCAAATTGTAAAACTGGTTATCTGTCTTTCCATAAATCAGAGCCCAGAGCTTTTAATGGTATTTATTAACAGAAAGAATGCAATCATTGCTTTCTTGTCACAACAGGTCTTATTAATCATTAGCTACACTAAGTCTTATAGTTTTATCTTAAAAATAGAACTCAGTTTGCTGACAAAACCCATAAAGAACACTTTCCCTACAATCTTCATGGACAAGTTCTACAAGAAAGAACAACTATGACAAGCTGTTATTATTATTTAAATTCTGATAACATTTTCAAGTTTAGAAATAACTTCTTGGAAAAAGTTACAGAAATATCTGACTACCACAAGCTTAAAAGGGTGGTTTCTCACTTCTCTGCAAGACAAAGTCATCCTAGGAAGAACTGCAGCTGAATCCACAGGAAATTCTCCACAGCTAGAGCCTTGACAGGTAATTCATCATTATTTGGGAGTGTGCTGGCTACTCACTTGCTCAGTGCATTTGGAGGTGATGCAAGATTTATGGAGATGTTGCTGATCAGTCAGGGCTTAATTTTTTATATTTTTATCACATTTCAAATAAGGGCTTGAGTTAAAGATACTAGAGACTAAATTGTAGTTACAATTATTTGTAGGAGAAAGATGACAGAGACAATTTTTAAAAATCAAGTTACAAGGTTAGGGCTGCTTTTTCTAACATTCCTGTGAGGTCACACAAATATTGTCTTTATAACATACGATTTATACTAAGTTTTAATGGATATCATCTCAGTGCAAGCAGAAGCACTTTTTCAGAAGTGCCTGCCATAGAGTGGAATTCAGGAATTTAAGATACACAGCTTGTAGCAGCATGATTAGACATCAGCTAGTGCTTTGCTTTAACTTGCTTATGATTGAAAACACTGTTTCACTTATTTCAGAATCAGTGAAATTGACTTTTTAGCACAAAAGTAGTAAAATAAACTTAAAAAATCAAATCTTTCTCGACTTCTTTTTGCTGCCAGCTACACTGAAGAAACAAGCCTCCTTTTCCTTTTGGTCATCACTTTCAAAAGTGAAGTCAATAGTTCTCTATTCTAAGTCTGAGCAGGTACCATGAGCAGATAGTTTCTGGGTCTTTCTTTACCCTCTCCAATGACTGGAGTGCAAGAAACATGAGTGTTAAAGCATTTTTAAGAAGCTGAGATCAAAATGGGTTGAACTCCCTGATGACTTTTATTGCCATCAAGAACATTTGCATGGTCACTGTGTCAAATCAGTCAACAAAAAATCAAACAGATTTGCAAATCAACAGACAAAAACCTCCTTGAGCACACAGAATGAGCTTTGACCTCCCACTTTGCCCACCCATTTACTCAGAAATGAGGCTATAATGGAACTTTATTCTTCTGCTACAGCGCAGCCACTGAGCCCTAAGCACGTAACTACAAACAACCTTTGACAGACAATACAGAGTTTACCAGGGCTGGTGCACCTTGATCCAGTTGCTCATTTCCAAACTGCAGCTGTGGAGCCAGGCAGGTTCAGTGAGGGAACATTGGCTTAGGCATGTGGCACAGGTGGAGCCATGCACTTCACTCGTGAGACAGAAGTGACAATGCCCTTTATCAATATAACCAAGTTCAGTGGTAAATGTGATAGTGGCTTAATGAGACTCGACAGGAAAATGTGCTTGATTTAGTGCAGAGATGGCAAGATCAGGTAAAACTCTGAGAGAGACCCTCCTCCTAAGTCACTGGGCTCTAAACTCCTCTCAGAGAGGAGCCTGGGTGCTGCTTAAACCCACTCCTAGTCCCAGATTTTGTCAACTGCTTCCATCTAAAGGGTTATGCAATAAATGCAATAAGTTCTTTATATGACTTAGCCAAGGTTTCAAGGCTGAGCATGCTGTTAGTCACTTACCAAGAATGTGTTGCAGCAAAGAATCTCAGCCTCAGGAGCGTGCCAGAGGTGTCCCTGCCCAAGAGGAGATCCAGGAGTGCAGCTCAGCAGGAGAGCTTGAGATCAATGGTTTGGTACATCTGCACACCAGCCACACATCTGAGCCACCTCTGCAGGCAGCCCTTGGCTGTCACACTGCCACCTGTCCCCCTAAGTCCACTTACACTGGATGCCACCACCACAGCCCTCACCAGTGGTTATGGCTGCAGGGGAGTGACTGTAGGTTTAGTTAAAATGTAAACTTGAAAATTAATTTTTACCAACTGTGAAGAGCACCTATTCTTCCTTTGACACCTTTTTCTTTTTTTTGTTTAGGTAGATTATGGATTGCTGGAAGGGAGCCGTAAGCCACAGCTGGATTTATCCCACAGTGATCATCTGTGCAAATGGATTTTTCACCACAATGAGGCCATCAGAATCTTTTCTCACCCCCTATCTAACAGGACCAGACAAAAACCTAACAGCTGAAGAGGTATGTAACTATTCACTTAAGCAGTAACTAAAATGCTTAAAGCATTAGGTCTTACAGCAGTAACTGAAGGGAAGATGAAGTGTATTTTATCTAAAGATCCATATTTAAGATGCTTCTGGAAAAGAATAGGGAGTCACCTCTTTGGCAGGAGGTCCAAATTTTAAAGTCCCTACATTCTCAGAACTTTAAAACCCCTTTGATGGTTGATATTTTTGGCAAAATCAGGTCAGCTAGTTCCTCTCTCCACCCCAGAGGAGACATTTATTTATACTTACCATGGAATTGATTACACTGACAGAATTGGTTTCAAAACATAAGAACGCTAAGCAGCCTTCCCAGCTAAGCAGCCTTCTCCTTATGAGTTGTAAGCTTATTTCCTATATTTCATGCATTCATTGACCTTTGGAGGTTAAGTCCACATTCAGAAAAACTGGGGGTTTTTGACAAAAACATGCACTCCAAGCTTCCTTGCTATGTGCTGTGTTCAGCACTGGCTGCTTCAGGAGCACACCTCCCAACAAAAGGGGACATGGTTAACACGTGGCTGAGTCATGGAGCTAACGGTATAATTAGAAAACACAGGCTTGCTACACCCACATACAGCTAATATGAGGAACAGTCATTCCTGATGTGCAGTAGCAAATGTTAAGGCAGAATCTACCAGCACACTGTGAACCCAAGGTTTCTGCTGAAAAAAGGTATTTGTGGTTTAGGTTGTCAGGGAGTCTTTTTCTCCCCCCTTTTAATTTTTTTTTTTTTTTGTAGCTACAAGGGAAAGCATTATTTCTTCTATAAATCACACAGATAGCATCAGAGAGTGCCATAATTCTGATTTCAGCAAGAATCCTTAACTCAAAATCAAGCAGAGTACAGATATTGTCTCTTTCAGCCAAACTCACCTCCAGTGAATTAATTCAATGAGGTAATTCTAAGTTCAGAGAAACAAAAGAAGTCACACAGAAGGATACAGTGAACCTGCTGCTCACTATGCAAAATCATTCCAGTACCTGTTCAGAAGTAAAAAGCATTCCTCCAGCATTTGATACAGTTCCTTTCTAGTCTAATTGCTTAAGCAGAGAACAAGAGATAGGAATGGATACCTTAGCAGGCCCCACAATTACTGGGCAAGACCAAAACAGGCAACTTAAAGTCACAGAAGAAGGTTGCTTTGTGATGTGCATCTATAAGGATACCTGCCCCAGGTGTGTCCAAACTGCCTGGGCAAGAACTGAGCTTTACTGGCAACCACAAACAGCACCTTCCAACTCAAAATCAGAAGTTTTAGAAAAAAGAGAAAGAATTTCTTCACAGGGCATCTATGTATTGAACTCCAACTTAAACTTACTGAAAGACTTCTTCAAATTTACTTTAAATCAGAAAAAAACATAAAAGGTGCACTACACTAGTAGCAGTTACACACTCTGTGCAGTTCCAGTTCCCCTTTGTAAGAAGCACATACTTTTTTTATCTATACCTAACAAAACGTGACCAAAGGTATACAATTACTTACATTAAGTTAAAATAGGCCTTCATTTTCAGATACTGGCGGGAATAGGATTTGAAACCAGAGAGACATCAGACACAAAGTCGTAATTGCTTTAAACAGTTGCACATCAAAACCTGCCTTCTTCATAGGCCTTTACTGGAATTACTTTTTAAGCCAATCTGTTTCTTTAGTGGAGCATAGCATCACTGTCTTTAGTCCTTACATAGTGAAGTCACAGTCTGGTAACTAAAAGCAGTTTAAGCCTCCACTGTTCACACATTCCAATGTTTCATATCATCACAACTATGTCATTTCAGCAGTAACACCATCAAAAACCATCCAAGAGGGTATTTTAAACATATGGGGGGTTGGGGCTGTTTTGTCTGTATAACATCTCCTCTTTCATTGTGTTCTAGGTTACCAACCAGATTTTTCCAGTCTGGACATACTCCTACCTGGCTCTCCTTTTCCCAGTGTTCCTGCTCACAGACTACGTGCGCTACAAGCCCGTCCTCCTCCTGCAGGGCCTCAGCCTCATCGTCACGTGGCTGCTGCTGCTCTTTGCACATGGAGTGGTGGCCATGCAGCTGGTGGAATTCTTCTACGGCATGGTCACAGCCACCGAGGTGGCCTATTACGCCTACATCTACAGCGTGGTCAGCAGCCAACACTACCAGAGGGTCACCAGCTACTGCAGGAGCGTCACTCTGGTGGCAGCCACCGTGGCCGCCGTGCTGGGACAGCTGCTGGTGTCCTTAGCAGGCGTCTCCTACTTCCACCTCAACGCCGTCAGCTTGGCTTCCGTGTGCCTGGCGTTCGTGTGCGCGCTGTTCCTGCCCACGCCCCAGAGGAGCATGTTCTTCCACAGGAAAGATGGCCCTGAGCCTGTGCCAGGGCCTGGCAAAGGGCTGGCCGTGGGCACTGCCCCCAGGCCCCAGAGCTGCCAAGAGGAAAGGAGCCCTGATGCTGCTGCCGGGGCCCCGAGCCCCCAGCCCCAGGCCGGCAGGGCCGGGCCCCGCAGGCACCTGCTGGGCGTGCTGCTGCAGCTGGGCAGGGACCTGAGGCGCTGCTACGGCTCCCGCAAGCTCCTCTGCTGGTCCCTGTGGTGGGCTCTGGCCACGGCCGGCTTCAACCAGGTGGTGAATTATGTGCAGGTGCTGTGGGACTTGCGAGCCCCCTCACACAGCTCCGCAGTGTACAATGGAGCTGTGGAAGCCATAGCAACCTTTTTGGGTAAGCAATCATTAGCAGGTACTTGTAACCCATCCTGTGCTGAGGGACTCTTCAGAAATGTGTTTGGTACCTTTCCACCTCCTATGAGAGCTAAGTAAACAGACAGAGATAAACAGTGTGCAAAGCATGATTTTACTATAAACTTTTACAGTGAGCTCTTCAAAATTAGTCTTAAAAACATATATAAATAAGCTTTTCCTTCTTAGAGGAGACTCATTCTGCCAAAATGTTTTAAGATTACTGCTCTGTTTAGACCACGTCTTTAACCTTAAGTAAGCACATTAAAACTGTGCAATGATATCTTCCATATTCCTCCTTCAAATACACCTTAAGCTGGCTGGTTAAAGAATTAAAAGAACACGTTAGCAGATACACTCCTCTAAGTATTACTCAGAGCATACTGTGAAAATGTCGATTTAGACACTGGTTTAAAAATCATTCCAGTCTTAGTGCTCCTCAACAAATATCCTGACTGCATCTGTGTCCTGATTGGCATGTTTGCCACAACTAAGGGGTTGTACTCAACGCCAGTATGGGCCATTCTCTTCAGAGTTCGACTTGATGGTCCTTGTGGGTCCCTTCCAAGTCAGAATATTTTGTGAAACCATTTCTGTGATGTGACAAGGCTGAGAGCACTGTAATTGTTTACCCTTGAAAACCAAGTAATCTTATTAATGTGCATAGAGACTTGAAGGGGAGGAGCAAAGAGGATGGAACCATGCTCTTCCCAGTGGTGGTCAGTGACAGGACAAGAGTCAAGGGGCACAAAATCAAGCAAAGTTCCACTTAAACACAGAGGAACATTTTTATTCCAAGGGTGATTTTAAACAGGAACAGGTTGGCCAGAGATGTGGACTCTGCATCCTAGAGTCAAAACCTAGGCACAATCCTGAGCAGCTTCCTCTAGCTGGCAGCTTTTAACAGGGCCATGTGACCTCCGTATCTTCCAACCTCAGCCATTCTGCTTCTCATTATTTACCTGGTCCACCCAAATTCCATTTCTCTTTAGCCACAGAAGGGTATGGGTAAAGTGAAACAACATTTACATGGCTGTACAGCACCAATACAGCCTCCTTACGGAGCTCCCATTTACACAGCTGTCTCTCCCTGTATTCCAGGAGCTGTATCCCACACTGCTACAGGCAATTGTCAGGTTACTTTTCCTCCCTGCAATCAGCCTGAAATTCCATTTTACTGAAGCTACTCCAGAACTTCTGACTACTGCTTTGAACAGAGTTCCCAAAGTCTTTCTTGCCTTTACTTGGCATTTGACACACCTTCAGAGTACAGAAGACACTCACAGCACTGGGAACCACTGCTCATGGTTACAGAAGACACTGACCACTGGGAACCACTGCTCACGGCAGGAATGGACCAAAGGGATTGGTTTGCTCCAATTTCTGGAATTCTGATGAAGAACACATATAACCAGCAAAAAAAGTCCAGTTTTTCTGCTAGCCCACCTGAGAACATGGGGTTTGCTACACTGTAATTGACTCAAGTAAGGGTTTTAACATGTGATGGCCAATAGGACATTGACAAATGCAGTTTCATAAGGCTTTTCATCCGAACCTGTAAATACACTTCTAGTAAAACAAAAAAGGCATAAAGTGCTAAGATTTTCTTTCCATAAAGAACTTCACATGAAGTAACTAAACTCATTATACATATTTTGACAGAAAATGCTTGGTGGGATTGTTCTTCTCTTTGCTCATAGTTGTCTAAAAACAGAGCCACAATAGATAGTGCACTGCTGCCTCCAGCCTTAGGCATGAGGCACTTTCCCAGAGCACTTCAGGCAGTGAAGGGTCTAAACAAGGAAGAAAACAGAAAACTCCCACATCCCTAACAAGAAATATGATCCATACCATTACCAAAGTCCACTGTGAGCAAGACTGAAGAGCTCCTAGCATGATCCAATGACAGTTATGCAACGGCTCTCAATGATAATGTTTCCAAGTTTTAATTACTACTTTTCAATTTTTAGGTTCAGCAACATCCATGGCAGTTGGATATGTCAAAGTAAACTGGGATCTCTCTGGAGAACTGGCTTTGGGAATTTTCTCTGCACTGGATAGTGGTTCTCTGCTTCTTATGCACTTCACTGACAACATCTGGGCATGTTATGCTGGTTACCTTGCATTTAAAGCTTGCTATATGCTTCTTATAACAATAGCCACGTAAGTACAACACACAACTCTTCTAACTAAATTGGATTTAAATCACTGTCAAATTTTTATATTTATCAAAATTTTACCGGACGTTTCCCTAGGTATAAATACAAACAAGTTATGACAGCAGCATATATTGTTACTAGCGTGTATAAAACTGGGTAAAATTATATGACCTAACCATTAAAATAGTACACTCCAAGTGAGAACAAGGTAGCTTCTGCACTTGGCCATTCAATAACCAATGCATGAGTGTTCTCAAAATGATCCAGTGAATATATACACAGGTATTTAGCAAAAATATTCACTCAAGGGTAAATAAGATGCACAAAAGTCACAAAGCCAGAAAAACCAAAAAAATTTCTGTCAAAATGAAGCTGATAAAGCTTAATAGCCAAGATTAAAGTGATCTTGTCCTTTGAAGAGTGCACTGTGCCCATTAAACTGTTCCCATAAGTGCATCCACCTGTCCTTGTTCCCCACAGTTTTGTGAACATATGCATTCATTGTCAGGTTTCAGATTGCGATCAACCTCAGCGTGGAGCGTTATGCTTTGATGTTTGGCTTCAACAACTTTGTTGCACTGGTGATTCAGACAATTTTAACTGTTGTTGTAGTAGATTCAGGAGGTCTGGGACTGGATATCAACACTCAGGTAAGCCACTGAGTCCCACTGCTTAGTTCTCCTACTCTCCTTAGTTCCCCTACTCTCCTTCAAAAGCAGGTTCTACTCCAAGATTAGCCTGTGGTAATGTGCAAGCTCAGGACAGTTACTCACCTGGAAAATGACTCATTTAAAGTGAACTGGCTTGAACTACTACAACCTGCTTGTCCTCTAGGCCTCCCAATACTGGGATGACTGGAAAATATTCTGTGTTCACAAAACAGAGGGCAAAGGTGACCACCTATTACTTTGGGTATTCTTTCAATTCAAGGCTTACTATTCACAAGTTTATAGTCAAAATACCCTAACCAGAAGCAGGAAGCCAGTTGAAAGACAACCTATAGGTCTATTACTAGGGCAAATCTAAGTTACATAGTTCCAGTGGACACACCTTTAAAGTTACTGTAATTCTGAAAATTAACTCATTGCAATTCCCCATTAAATTTCTAAAATTAGTTTAAACGGAGACACGGAATGAGTCTAAGACTCTAGGTTTCATGTTTCCAGAAAAAAGATGAAGTGCAAGACAGCTGTCCTCCCTTACTGAGGTGGGGAAGGACATATCAGAACCTTGTGTCCCCCTTTTACAACCACAGAAGTTCTATAGTATAAAGTCAAGCAGTCCAGACTTCTTGAATCCTCTCAAGATGGGGTCATTCTGGACACATGTGACAGGGAAGGGAAGGCAGCAATGGAGAGACACCCCTTAGAGTCAAAAACTGTTTTTCCTGTTAGATAACTACTTTTCTCTCTCCCCACCTCCATTTCCCAGTTTCTCATTTATGGCAGCTACTTCGCAGTCATAACTGGAATTTTCCTGATCAGAAGCGTGTACACCATAATTTCCATCAAATGCAGAAATCCAAGTGTGGCTGCTGAAAGCACTGCCCCTTAACAACCAAGACAAAAGCAATGGTTACAAGCAACAATGCAGAAGGCTCCGTCATCTGGACAAGAAAGCAAGAGAAATATAACATTCAATCAAGGAAAACTGGTCCAGGTTGAAGCAAGCTGTTTATGAGCCTACTGCACAGAGAGCTTTGTCAACAGGATGATGCATTTGCTCCATTTTCTTCACCAAAAGTTTAATACAAACATTCCTCAAACAGTCTTCTAATTCAAGTTTAGTGATCTGACATACAAATTTCTATTAAGGCTCAGTGAGCACAAGGACATACAAATGCCTGAACCTCACACCAGAGGAACTCACAGAACAACCCTGGACTTTGCCTTCTACTGAGTATTTCAATTTAAGGCAATTTATTCACTGACAGAAGACCATCAGACATGCCCAGGCAATCTAAAGCAGTTGAACCATACAATGACTTGTCAGATAATTTGTCACAGAAGCCTTTGGAAAACTTCAAGGCTTTTTCAACTGGACATCACATCTGCCTTACAGAGCTCAGGATGGTCCTGCAAGTGTAGCATCTTCTTACACTTGTAACAGCAAATGTTTAGGACTGAAGTCTAATTAAGAGGTCTCCATATTAACTTCTGTATAACAGGCCTAGAGTTATCAAGTGAAGTGCTTTGATGCTAAAACACAAAAATACAGCTTTTAGGCAACTATGCTATTTGCATGAACAATTAAGGGAATAACTGCAGAGATCTCCATGATAAAAAACATTTAAAATCAGGGGTGAAAAATTAATTTTGTAAATAAAGCTATTTTAAAACCTAAACAACTAAACACCAATGGTGCCAGTTAATGCTCAATGTACAGAAGACTCAAAACAACACAAGATCTTCAGCTTATCTGGAATTTGACAAAACCAAAATCCGTGAACACAGACTAAAGAGGTGTGCTTGTGTGTAGTTAAAAGTTGCAAATCTTTTATCTGCAGTTAATTCAGTTATGAAAAATAAAGCATTCCACTACTTCTACAGCATATTCTAAACTACATGCCTTGCATACTTCAATCAGTTTCAGTATCTCAGCAGTAATATTTGGATTAGAACAATCTCTATAGATGCTGATCTCATTAGCCCTTGCCCAAAGCCTAATTTACACCACTGTAAGTGAAGAAGGCACAGAATTGTTGCTCTTTCATAACACTTTTCATCTCATAGACAAGACATCTCTTTGATTCAGTCCAGTTCTCTGCACTAAGCATTTTTAAGTATTCCACAAGCTCAGCTGAACCCTTGCAGTTCTCCACTCTCTACTGCATTTACCTCATACTATCCAAAACAGCCAAGGTTGGGGAACAGGGAGAGTTACAACTATTTACACTGTGCTAAAATACAGTGGTAAGAGTAAGGGTGTTACTAATACCCTGCAAACCTCCAGTTGCTGGGGATTTCTTCAGTGAATTCCTCAGAGAATGTTGGGAACTGAACTGAACACCACACTGTTGAGCAGTCTCCATCAGAAACAAGAGAGAGCCTTCAAGCCTGTTTTAAATATACCAACAGGACAAAACCAGACATTTAAGTTCAGAAAACTTGCAGTATGCTTTATGAGTTGCCTGTCTCCAGCTTGGTATCTCCAAAGTTTAAAAAACAAAACCAAAAAGAAATTACAATCCCCCCATAGGCAGGCAACAAAAGTCAAAAGCATTAGCACAAATGTTTTTACATGCAGAGGTCAAACCTTTCAGATGCCTTAGAAAAACCTAGCCAACATTCAGGCAGTCAATTACAAGTGAAATGTCTTACCTTGAAGAATTTTCATGTTTATCTCAAATGGATTCACATGTTCTTTTTAAAAAAAGTCAATCTCACCTTATTTATTCCTATTATCCTGTAATCTGTTAGAATTTTATTCTCCAGCTGGTCAGAAACCTTTAAGCTTGCAGTTTATGTATTCACAATATACTTACATTATTTGCTTAGTTCCAGTATTACACTTGAACTGTAGCCAAATTTATGTCTGTTTAAAACATCAACTACTTTGATGCAGTTATATTTTCCTTGAATCTTATCACTGTTACAGAGGAAGACAAGCCAGACATTTTTTCCCCAACAAGTTTCACTGTAGTATGGCACAAAATATTTCTGTAAATGAAAAAAATAAATTTAATATTCCACAGGAGCTCTTACTGATAGGTATCGGTTTTTAATAAAGAGAGGGCTGTTACATCTGTGGTTCCTTGGCCTGCTGTTACACACTCTGTTCAGAGCACAACTAAGGCCTGTCATTAGTTACCCATAATAAGGTGTCCTTTGCTGCAAACCTTCTCTCCAATAACTACCCTTCCCAGTGCTTCCAGTGTCCTTCATGGCATACTCTATGCAAACAATCCAAACCTCACCTAACACTCTCCTGCGTGACAGGTCACTTCACTTGAGCTAGAACAGTGAGCTTCATCACAAGGGCAAAAAGAAACACATCCAAGTGAGGATGTGAAAATTTTAGGCTTAGCTCACCTTTGAACACACTGCTTTGGACACCTCATCTGTATACAAGACACAGTGTGTACATTTTCATCCAGTACATGTTACTGCACAGAAATAATGCTACACAGGGGTTTTTTCTAATATTTATTTTTTCACCTGCAAACTGTAGCAAAACATGATCAGCTTTATTATGCAGACAGGTATCCCTCTAACATTAGAGATTTAGGCATGTATAAATAGAAGAGCTCTTAGGAAAGGAAAACATTTTGAGAAATGAACAAACCTTCAATTTAACTTCGTGACTTCCAATACCAATGGTTAAAATGATGCAGCTCATTCATTCCAAGAGATACAACAGCACCTTAAAGTGGCTGATCTATTCTCCAGTAACATTTTCACATAACAATGTGTTAAAGTTACAAATACTGATATGCACAAATAGCTATTTTCTAAGAAAAATATGTACAGTACTGCAGCATAATGAGTGTGGTATCTGCAATAACTTATTAGCCAATTGTAATACACATGATACCGCTACTTTGTACCTGCCACTTCACAGGTTCAAGGATGTTACCACAGCCCTCTGTTTTGCACGTTATTAACTCGTGGGGGGTTGGTTTTCTTGCTTTTTGTGTCAGGTGGTTTTTTTTTTTTTCCTTTTTGAAACTTTTTAAAGGTACACAATGCAGGCTTTTATTTTTACTTCTTAAAGACTTCTTTTGTGTTTAAAGCTAATATCAGTGAAACAAGACAACAGTGCAAGAGGCGCAGAGATGTTATGTGACCACATAAGAGTTCTTTTGGGTAAAGTGTCTATAAGGCTATAAGAAAGGATTGGTTGATGAGCTTCCTGTTGGAAATTGTCCTGTTGGTGCACCAGCCTGGGGGAAGAGGAACAAAGAAAAATAAGGCAAGTATTTTAAGATTTTTTTTCCATATTGTGAATAATAAATGCAGAATATATTTTAAAAAAATAACCTGCTGGGGAGTACTTCTGTTTTATATTGCAATCTACTTTCTGCTGCTTCTCTGGAATAACACTACTCTGGGAACATGTATGAAAGTACTTCTGCTTTGATCTGAACACCCTTACAAATGGCATAAATCCAAATAGTGAGCTGAGTTAGGAGAGTCACATGCTTCCTTCCATTATAAAAAGCAATAAAACTCCCTAATCTTTGTCTATCTCTAAATTAAGTGTTACAGACTATTCTTCTTTGGACATACAGAAGTCATTGACATGCAACAACTCACCATAAAAGGGTTACTAGATACTCCAACAGCTGCAACTTGTCCAAAAGGAGTTACTACAGGCTTTGCTTGCCCAAATGTAGCAAAACCTGCTCCTTGGAAAGAAAAGCAAAATAATATTAATACTAGTAAACAATGTTGAAAGAGTTCTTTGCTGCAGCTCCCAACCAAAATTAAGTGTAAGTTTGAACTGCAGAATCAGCAGGACTGATCCTACTTAAACATGATCAGGAATGTAAGTGTAAAACACTGTGGCTGAGCTTCATGTTTGTTTTCAACCGTTCACAACTCATCAATCTCCAATTTCTACATATGCACCTTTTTCAATGTTATATCATATAAATTCAGGGAGAAAATGCTTTCCAATTTTCTCTTGCCTGTGTTCTATGAAGTTAGAGGAAGTGTAATAGTATGTTGCAGACATTTCCAAACAGCCCTTCTTGCCTAAAAGCCCTTTAAGCCTGGGAATACTTACCATTTTAGTATGAGATTCTGGTAAAATTTAAGTTTGGTAATTAGGCAATTGCACACAGCCAAGTCACAAGGCTCATCTACAGAGCCAGAACAGTGTGGGAACCCTTCATCAACATTACTATCAAGTTCATGTAGAAATAAATATCCACCCGTTGTTGCCAACTTATAGACAGAGCATTTTCTCCATGTTTCTGATTTAGACAAGGTTATCTAAAACATGCACACCTACCATTTGGCTGCTGAGCAAAAGCAGTCTGTTGAGGGAAAGCTGCCTGGGTTGGGAACGTGGGCTGCTGGAAGTTGCCACTATAACTAGTAGGAAGACTGTAGGAGGCAGGAGTTCCAAATCCTGCCGGCATGCTCATGGATGCAGTACCAAAAGTTGCTGCTGGTAGGCAAAAAGTAACATGCAATTATTTGTAAGAAATAATTTTTTTCATGAAACAAATTACTATAAGGCCATGTTAAAAGTCTTCTAATGCCCTATGTGACTGGACAAAAGTTTGGTTCAACTTCCACAGCCACTCACTGAACTGATTTGTTCCCTTCCATCACCCCCAACTGGGTGCATAATTTGCCTTTACACTTTGAAAATGAATGGTGTTATTTAAAATTTAATAGATCCAGCACATTCAGATATACTTTCTGAAGAGGAAATTATTTTTTCTTCCGAGTGTTATCATATATTTCCCCCACAGGTTTTCTGGTAGAAGTCTGTACACATAAGAAGCAAGCAGGTTCAGGCAGCCTAAGCCCCTCTGTCTTTCTCCTTAGAAAAGCATGAAAGAACTTTCCTACTTCAAGCTGCACTAGAGGAGGTTATAAATAAAAAAAAAAGGGATACATGCATCCCCTTTTAGAATCCCATCTTTAATGTCTTTAAGGAGATTCTCACCATGCACATTATTTGCACACAAAGTTTCTGTTGCAAACTCTCTTACTGTTGAGGTAGAACTTAAAACAAAAAGAGCCCAAAACTTTTCATCTGATTCTCTGCTGAATATTTCAAGTAAAGAACACACAGCTCATAAGCATTTCCCCATGCCTTCAGCAAATAAACAGGAGCACGTGAGGTGCAAAAGTATAGTAACAAAACCATTATTCAGTCTTTTGGGAGTTATTCTTGAAAAGAGAAGTGCATAGGAAGAATTTTGGTACAAATACAGACACCAGGTATTCTATGCTAGTTAAACAGGACTTCTCTTTTGAAATGTTACAAGGTACACTTTATGCAAGCTCAACTGTTTAATAAAGCTAATAAAATAACTTTAATGAATATAGCTTAATTATCAGTTGAAGTATTTACCCCAAAAGTGTTCAAGGGCAAGACATTATACAGACAAAGTGTAGACACGTGCACGCAAAACTAATGTACTAACACTGTTCTCAAGTTACAGTGAGCAGAGCAGCTACTCCACAGCAAACTTGGCTAAAACAGCAAAAAGAAGCACAACAAAATCAGCAGGGGACTTGGGATATCCCAAAAGGCATCAAACTACTGTTGGCAGAAACTTCAACAGTCATTCATAAGCACTATATGGTGACCATGGATGATACCAATAATGGTTTTGTTTTGGTTGCTCAACAGGATGTCTATGTATGCTCTTCTCTCCCTCTGCCCAGTTGCCAAATATCCACACCCACTCCATTTTTATGAAGCCTTCCACAATGCTTTGTGCAGAGAACCAGATAGCTGTCAATAAGCTTTTACAAGCAAGAACAATTAGCCACAAGAAACTTGATACCAAATGTGGCCACCTACCAAAATGAGCCTGAGGAAATATGTGAGAGTGCATTGCTCCCGAGAGGCCTTATGGAAGCCACAAAGAGACCAGACAATGTCAAATCATTTATACACTCTTGAACAGTCATTTCTTAGTTTTTTATATATATAGAGAGAGAAATAGATACACATATATGTACCAAACAGTTCATCAACAGCATGACCAGCCATAGATTAGTATTAGAAAACCATGAGAAATAAGCTCTACAAGATAGATCTCCCATGTATTAAACAGGAACGTTCATGCAGGAAGAACACATAAAATGACAAGCTGTAAGTTTACACCTTACACTAAAAGGGGATGAACATTATCTTTACTTTAGACTTTATCTCTGTCACCCAGTGTGGAACATCAGGATGCTGCCAAAGGCTTGGAACCTCAGCAAGCCAGGGACAGCTGCACAAAAGGTGGAAGGGTAGTGGTGCCATACTCAAGAAATTTATCTAAAGAGGCTACAAATTCTTAATGATGATCCAAACTAGCCCATTTAGGAATGGGATTGAAATAAAGAAAAAAGGTATTTTGGGCATTAAATATCTGAACAAATTTAGCTGCATAGTATCTCAAAAAGACTGAAAACAGAAACAATTTTAGCAGAGGACAAAAATTTATCAAATCAGTTTTTAACTCAGCCTACCTAAATCACTGAGCAAACCACATTTCAAATGTCAAAATGCACACATCAGCAGATTTAAATCTGTTGAAGTCCAACTAATAGATAAAAATGTCAAAATTCAGCACTTGCTCTGTAGAGGAAAATCAGCATAACCTAACAGCCATCTAATCCAAGTTCATAATTTTAAAGTAGAAGTTTGCTTTCTTAAAAAGTGAATACATTTTGCCCATAGAATTATGATTCTACAGAATCACCCCACAGAAAATTAATATAAAAAATGAGTGTAAAGATTATTCATATGCTTTAAAAAAGAGACACTAATGTACTAATTAAGTGGACTGGTGAGGAGCTAGCATCCCAAGAGCCTTGGGATGGTTCTGGCTCCAGCTCTTTGGTTTTCAACACTTAGAAATAAAGAAAGAAATTAAACAGAAGAGCTTTCAAGATCCCTGATTTCAGGGCTACCTTCTATAAAGCATGCTCTAAAGACAAGGTTATAGTCTTGGAAGGAAGCCAGCTGGTGATACATATACCACAAACAGGTAGAGCTCAAACAGATCATTTCGACATTGTTCATCACCACCATGTGAAATCCTAGAATTGCACTTCAACATTGAGCAAACACACAACATGTCAAACAGACTAGGGACAGATAATACAGAAAATCTTTAAGAAACATATTACACAGATACAGGAAAAAAGAATCAATGCAATTCTTTAAAGAAAGTTTCTCAAACACTCAGTGTATTTTTTCCTAACCTGTTGCTCCTCGGCTATTGGTCTGGAATGGATTTGTTGAAGGTGCCACTGGGGCAACAGGGGCAGCTACAAATGGATTTGTGGAAGGTGTTGCTGAAAGATTAAAGACATTTTACTAAGTAAGCATTTCTCTAACACCAAATTTCACTTACATGAAGTCTATACAACTTTTATACAAAGACACATAAATACCTAAAATTAGGCCAAAAATCAGGAATATATAAGATACATTAAAAATATAGTTATTTTGACAGAAGTACTTTTTTGTTAACAGTACCTTTATTAGCAGTACTAGTGGTGTCAAAGCAGAGCATTATCAAGTAAAAATTAGTAGATTGCTTACTTATAGTCCCCAAGGGTGTTAGTAACACTTCCATACCTCCAAATGGAGCAGGCACGCTTGAAGATGCAGGCTGCGTCTGTGCTGTAGCAGCTACAGGTACTGTTCCAAAAGCATTGCTGGAAATAATTTATACAATCCATTCAGTGAAGTCAGAATTGCTTGTTTAATAATTAAATACAATTTACAGTTACTGCTGGCATGTAAAAGGGGATGAACATTCATGTGCAGTTTGCAGACTGCAGTGTACCTCCCTGATGCCAGGGTGAGACACTCTCACTGGTGCTGAGCAATGGAAAGTCATCTCCACCAACAGCAGGAGGAGGAATATAGAACTAAGGCCAGTTGTAAAGCAAAAGCCTTAGGGGCACTTGCAATGCCAAGCCCCTAACAGGCATTTGGTATTTGTTACTTCAGTGATCCAGAAATGGGTGGCACCATTTACATTAAAAATATCTGAATTCTTTTTTCAGGGATGATCCTCTGACTTGGACTAAGCATGCAGGTGCTCTGCAGAGCAAAGTGCTACCATCTAACAGGTTTAGCATGTCATGATTAGAAAGACGTAGAGAACATTCAGCTGACAGTATTCCTAGAGTCAGCCATCCCTCAGTCCTGCCATTATTGAAAACAAGAGATGCAGTTTCAGCACTGCCTCTAAACTCATTCAATGCTTCCCAGTTTGGATGAGAACAGGTCTGAGAAGCGCCTTGCAGCTGCTGGGTGCTGCTGCAGGCAGGGTGGGCAGTGAGCAGCGTACCTGCTGACGTTACTGGTGGCGGTGTAGGCGTTGCTGGAGGTGGCCGTGGAGCTGAAGACGCTGTCCAGCTCCGCCAGCGCCGCGTACTTGTCCGAAGATGCACTTGACTGGTTGGGGGCTGACAGGGCAGGGCCTGCTGAGGACACTGCTGTGCTGAAGCCACTTCCCTGCTCGCTCCCACCTAGAAGGAAAGCAAGCAGGTGAAGCATAGTGGAGATAGCTTCACTTTCTGCCCTGCTGACACTGAGAACTACATGAAAGTTCACAGACGGTTGCAGACTTAAAAATTAAATATGCACTAGGGCATAGAGGAAAAAGTATTTAACGAGCCATTAGCTGTTAGCAAAATGTCCTGCCTCTATAGGTACTCTGCAGCCCCAAAGAGCTTTTGTTTTCCTAGAAAAATAATCCATTCATCTTCAACTAGAAAATGAACAAAACATCTAACCTCAAATAATCCATTTCAGAAAAAACCTCTAGAGTACAAATGAACACAAGTTTTAACACACCATTTGAGAAGAACTACATTTGAGTAACAGAATAAGTAGCTTTTTCTCCTCAATTTATGATCAACTAAATCCAAATATCATTGCTACTATTTTATGAAAAACTAGAGCCAATTGTTTTTGTGGCAGAGAGGAAGAAAACTGCTCTGGTAGCTCTTTGCAACAACTGCAGCTCTCCATTCCAGAGCATCCACTCTAGGTTGTAATACAAATATAAAATATGTATTTGTATTTTTGTATGTTTTCATTATTGAAGTAATTATTATTTAGATATTTTAATTTTGAATTATTCATCTCAATGGGAAATAGGTTCCCAAACACCAGTCTTCTAATGACATCCTTTTGAAATGATGTCTTAAAACTCGTATCTTGCACATTTAAGGGTACATCGAAACAAAATTCTGCTGATCACTTAGAGAAATTTTGAAATACTGTAACAGTAGTTTGACAAGGACAGCCATCCTTGTGGTAACTATACACATATAGAATAACCATGGCAAACAATAAAGTTTAATACCTTGCCCTGCACTGAAGATATTATCTAAATTAGCAAGAGCTGCATATTTGTCAGCTGACTGAAGATTCAGTTTATTCACTGCAGCTTTACTGGCTGCAGTTGCTGTGGCGTTGCTCTGAGAAGCATTGAAGGATCCAAAATCAGCACTGGAGGATTTGGGGAAGTTATCAAAGTGAGCAAAATTAGCATTCACTGATCCAGCACTTCCACCTGTAACAAATTAAGTTAAACATGATCAATGCTCCAAAGTTAGGAAGTTTCTCCAACTGTAACTGATGGCACAATAACCCTCCCTTTGTGGCTATGTGAGGCAAAGTGTTTGCCTGCCCCATCCTACCCATTTAAGGGTCTTTCCCACTTCCTTCAAAGTTCAGTGGGCCATCAGAAAAAAATCATAAAATAGTGTTTTGACTGCATATCAGGGATAAACACCCCAAACTTCAACACTTTAAATCACAGTCATAATTTGATCCTGAAAACTATATGCTATTTTTAGCTGTTAAAAGTAATTTCAATAATAAAAACTTTAACAGTCAAAATACAGAAGCTTCATTTCCCTACCATATGTGGCTAACAAATAACTACTATTTACATTTGCTTAGTGGTTCAATGTTTAGTCATTTCAGATGTCAGCTATAATCCTAAGCAAAAAAAAAAAGTGCCTGGAAGTCCAAAAGTTATATGATTTCATGCCCAGGTTTAAAGAGTTTTGTTCTCTGTTCTCAAGAGTTTTAGACTGCATCCAATCAGGAAAGAGGTTAGGGGGAAGACACAACACAGCTCTTTTATAACAAGTCTCCACTGAAGTCAGAGATACATAAATCAATTTTATAAATTTAATATGAGTCCATACAACTGAACTTCAGATCAAGTATGACACCATGAGCTTCCATCTCTTCATTGTCCAGACAATTTAATCTAGGCAGGTCACAAATTTAAATGAGTTGTTCCATTAAGTGCATCACATTTTATAACAGTTGGTTGATGATTCCACTCATACTACAGAACTTTCTAAAACAGAAACACAACTTTCTAAAAGCATAAGCAACAAGTTGAAACATATGCAACAGTAGGAATGGAAGTGCTATACTACAATGGCATAAAATGAAGCAAGCTGAGTTTTCCACTGCGTGGAACTTACTGTGTACAGCCTGGAGAGGAAAAGCTGAAGTAAATTCACCAAAACTGCAGCTAGATGAAAGCGTTCTGAACGCTGGACAGCCAGAAATTGTGTGTGGGTTAAAGTTAACATAAGAAGGGAGAAAGAAAATTTGAAAAAAAAGTTTAAAACAACACCACACTCAAAAGAAAAAAAAAAAGGAAAAGAAAGTCAGTCAGCCAAAGATCTAGACAAACAGCAAGTGTAAACTCAAGCAGAAGTTCTAAAGCATGATCAAATTAAAGGAAAGCAAAATAAATCTTAGCAATAGGCTCTACACATGAAGTCAAACATACTGAAGTGTGTGCACATGCCATACATATGCAGACACACACTTGTTTGGTACTGTGACATCCTTTTGGATCTACTGAAGTGCTTCTCTTAGAAGACAGAGTCAATTCAATACTTATTAAAACCAGTAGAGTTTATTCTTTTCATAGTTATTTCAGGTGTAGAGCTAACAAACACAGTGCCATAAATCAGACTTCTGAGTAGCGTTAGGGGAAAAAAAAAATCAACACCAAACACAAGGAATTCATTTTGAGTTTCCCCAGAGCTTCAAATGGCTTGATCACATTAAAGCAGGCAGATGCAAGAAAAACTCAACTTCGGTACCTTTCAACATAAAGGTAAGGATTATTTCAATTAAGGATTAATCAAAAGTGCTAGGACTTCTACCTGTATTTTGGGGCTGAAAAGGAGACTGACTTGCTGTGGGGAAACCTCCAAAATTACTCGAGCCACTAGACTGTCCAAATGCATCAAAGTTTGCAAAACCTGCATTGGCAGAGTTCTGCGCTGTAAATCGCAAAGGAACAAAACATGTTAATGGATATGGGAAATAAACACAAAAACAGATGTATTAACTGAATTCATGGTCATGACAGCCTTCAAGGGTTATGTCCTACCATACATGTGCTGCTTTTGACATGAAGGAAATTACATGTTATTCTACAATTGAAAGTTGTCTTTGAACAAGCTCTCACAAATCACCTTCACAGAGCTGTATCAGTTAATGCCACTCCTGTCCTTCCCACACAAGCTGCTGCTCACAACTCTACGACCCAATGGGATCCACTCCAGCTTAACCGTAAGTGCTTGCAGTGCTGGCTGCCCAGGAAAAAACAGCCACAAAGTACAGAATACCTAGTTTCCAAAACTAGAACTTGTGAGCTAACTGAACATTTCTTTGTGCACAAAAATCAGAAGGTATTCTTGTAACACATTGGCAATTCAAATTCCTCATACACCAAGTGCTTCTTCCTCAGGTGAATTTTGGTTGGCACAGCCTGAATAGTTTTGGCTAGGTTTATAAATTCATTTAACTGGAAAATTCAGTCTTTAAAAAAACTAAATCAGAGTACAGAAATATGGAAAATCAATGCCAGTGACAAGACGATAGCATTCATGGTGTATCCACAAAATTAAATCCAAGGAAATTTCAAGTAATACTTCATTTTTTGCCTTCCTTTTGTGCCATACTATAGGAGAAAATAGAAGTTAACACTAATCTAATTTTGACCAGCTGGACATTCAAGCATCTATAGACTCAACAGAAATTGCACACCTAACTGGTAAGCTCCACAGAAGCCCTTCAACTCTATTATAAGCAAGAAAGGAAAAAATGTTTTTAATCAAATGCAAACCAAACCTTTTTATAAAGATAACTTGAATTACAATCTAAAGAAAGCTCACACAACACCTTCTGGAATAACAGATGGCAATACATTATATTTTTAGGTTAGAATTTGTTTATTCTAGAGATATTTTGCAGATTAAGTATATACAAAGAGAATAAATTATGCTGATTGCTGAAGTACTGTAACTTAATAATCTGATAGTGCTAATTAAAAGCTGTATTATTTAAATTAATTTCTATTAAAAATATCTGTACTATAAACTTAAAAACTGGAAAGACATTTTAATACAAACTACTGTACTCCACAATGTTGCTAATATAAATTAGCAGGAAAGTGCCTGCACTTTCCTTCCCCGAGTACCCGGGGAGAGAGTGAGGTTTGGCTGGACTCAATACCACATTTAATAAACCATGTGCATAAGCACTGGGTTACAGAGCATGGTTTTGGCAGCAGGGAGCAGCCAGGGTGGTCCCTGTGAGGAGTGAACAGAAGCTGCCCCCAGTGCTGCACAGCTGCTGCAGCTCCAAGACTGCCCCACCACTGCCCAAGGCCAAGGCTACCAGCAGTGCTGGCTGGGGCACTGTGGTTAAAAAGGTTAAAAACCAGTGTGCAGCAGCTGTGGCAGAGAGGAATGAGGAAAATGCAAGAGAAAACACTGCAGATACCAAGGTCAGCCAAGAGGGAGGGAAGGACATGCTCCAGGCCCATGGAGAAGACCATGGTAAGGAAGGCTGTCCCACTGCAGCCCACGAAGGACCATGGTGTAACACATTCACCCTGCAGCCTTGGAGGAGCCATGCCAGAGCAGGTAGGGAGGGCATGAGGAGGCTGGAGCTCATGGAAAGCTGCTGCTGGAGCAGGTTTCTGGCAGGAGCTGTGACTCTGCCTGAAGGACAGCACCCCATGGAAAGGACCCACACTGGAGCAGGGGAACAGCATGAGGAAGAAGTAGCAACAGAGACAAAATCTCATGATTTAACTGCAATGCCCATTCCTCAGCCCCCTCATGGGGAGGAACTAAAATGGTCAGGACACCTCACACACCTACACCTCACAAGAAGGGATGAAGGTGGATTTCGTTTTATTCTTTTACTGTCCTACTCTATTATTGTCAATAAATAAGTCAAGTCTGGTTTTCCCAGTTACTTTCTCCTGACTCAGCAGCTTTTTCTTGTCTTCCCCAACCTTGCTGATGGGAGAGTGAACACACAGCCCCCTGGGCACCTGGAACCCACCACAGCATGGGAGTCAGCAAGGAGAAAAAAAAAAATATCAAAGTGAAAGCAAGATCATGGGAAAGTTATTGAAGTGCGCAAAAAGTTGGCAGAAACAGACAAAAAATTACTTCTGTGATATCCTGTGTATTGGTTCAAACAGCATTTTACAAACTCCAAATCCCTAAGTTTGAGCTGTTTTGGTGTTTAAACCAATAGTTTTTTAATAGGAATAGATTAAGAATTTACTTTAAAAATTAAAGTGATACTTTCATCCTAATGCATCAATTGGACAGGCAAGAGACTGATGTTTAGTTGACCAAAGAGGATTAAGCACTTAAATGTCACTTCTAGAATAAGGGCAAGATTATTCATTTTAATCACTCACACAAACAGAAAACTATGTCAAGAATCTTAAATGAAATATCTTTTGGGCCCAAATTAAAAACTGGAGTGTATTACATTACAAAACACTTCATTTTACTGTATCAGCTGACACAGAAAGGATGACCTTCAAGTGAGCCCATGTTCAAATAGTACTGCTGCAAAACCTTTTCAGCAGAGTATTCTGATATTAATCTTGTTTTATTTTATGCAGTAAAATGTCAACCTTTGTAAATGTGACACAAAAGTAAAGACCGGGCAAGACTTGTACTCTCCTGCACCTGGACAATACATAAATTGCCAATTCCAAAATTCAGTTCTCCACACAAAAACCCAAGAACAATCCTAAGTAAGCTCAGGAACTGCAGGGGGTTGCAGATTGCCACGGATTTACAGCTGCCCTTGACACTGCAGACCAACAAGGCAGTACAAAAGCCAGTTGGCTACAGCCAGGGATGACAACACCAGTCATGGCAATGCCAGCTGCTCCTACAATCTCTGCAGTTTCTTCTGTGAGGTTTGTACTACCTCCTATGTAATAAAGGAATGAAACACTGCAAAATAGAAAAAAAACTAAAATAAAATCTATGTATACCTAAAGTAAAAAAAACCAAAAAAAACCCAACTCCACAAAATAATTCTTATACTATTTTGTTTTTTCTAGATAAAGTCTCTTCTTCCATGTTATCGGTAATACAGTTGTGCTGTGTCACTACACCTTTGTAAAATCTTTTGTCCAGCTCATCTATTCCATCAGTTTTTAAGAAACTTACGCGCCAAAAATTTTGATCCTTGTTGCAATTACCAATCTATAAACTACAGACAAATCAAAATCTCCATTTTGCAGAAATTACAGAACTTTGTAAATTAAATACCAACAGCAAACATAAGGTCAGTATGTTTCCCCTTCAATAAGCAACAATATCCTGAACCGGCTTAATACATTAAAGAACTTGGAAAGCAGAAACATATCACAAATTGCAGTTCCTGCATCATTTTCAAGATTTACACCTACACTTCACAGATTACAGGACAAGTTTGTTAATATTTTCCTATCAGCTGCCACACTCAGTAACTTGTATTGAAGGATCTTAATTTACTGGTTTCTTCAGTGATTTAGTTGGTATTGTGAACAGGAAGGGAAAAAAGTCCATCCTTTACACTCACAGCTAAAACCAAGCCCTAAAACAAGAAGACCAGACTGTAAACTTCGAGAAAGGAGCACTGGACTAAGTGCAAATTCTCCCATCCTCCTTAGCAGTGTGTAATTGCTAACAAAAATTACATGTTTAGACAGCTCCTTAATGAGCATTTCAAATTCATTTCTGCCAAAGCTGGCAGACTGATCAACCCTCCTTGTGTTCCAAAGGAAGAGTCTGTAACATTTTGTTATTCATTTCACTAACACTACCCTGTACTTACTGCACACAAGACATGCCTTACAAGCATTTTACTACAGCAAGTTAGAAAACACCCTCAGGTAGCAAGTCTGCAATACATGTTCAGCTATCACACACTCAGAATCAGGTTTCGGCCTTTTAGAAACTGATTTACTAGCACTGATACTGCTTGGGGCTCTAAAACTTATGGTAAGAAGTCATGGGAATGACCACAATGGTTAGTTTGTGACCAGAAATTAACAGACTCTCTCCTCAGATTTTATTTATTCTGGAGTGTTCCTACAGCTTTCTATCCTTCTAAAAATTACCCAGCAGAGACGCAGTGGAATTTTACCTAGATTTGGAACACAGTATTGAAATACTGCTTTAATGGAATTTTCATCTCCTAAAAAGCATTAAGAATAATAAAGGGTATATAAATAAAGAATCATTCAGCAACAAGTTTGGAAAGAAATTATTAGAAAAAATTAACCATCTGCAGCCTTTTCAGTAACACTATGCAGCACTGGCCAGCAGAAGTTCTCCAGTTAAAACACCTCCAAAATTTTGATTAACATGAAATCTAATTTTAAGGATTTTACAGAACACACAGAATAACAATTGCTGTTGCAGTGTTACTGAATTCAGACATTTATTTCACATTAATTTGGATAAATCTTGTATTTTGCTCAGCTCCTCAGGTGTGAACCTTAAGTCCAGCCTATGATAGTTTATCTTGTCTGTTAACAGTTTCAGGACTGATTTGCAAGAAATCTCTCTGAGTAGCTTAGCAGCATCACAGTTTCTCTCAGAACAACTAGATGAAAAGCCCATTCAGACCAGGCAGGCAAAGGTACTTTCCCACAACTACAAGGCAAGCTAGCAACAAGAAACTTCAGTGACCACAGAATTGACTTTGTCTTTAGGATACATTTCTATGGCTCTTGGTCTTTGGCTGGGAAAAAAAAACCCCTGAGGGTTCAATATATTTTACTGAAGTCATCCTCTAAGAATTCAAGGCCTATCCTCTTTCCTCAGTCAATACATATGCTCAAGGCTTGTTTATCCTTCCTGAAACTACAGAATACTGCTCACATGGGCAGTACTCAGCTTTCAAACAGACACACACACAAAAGATGAGATCACTCTTTAAACTGGGCAAGCCTTGGTTTTTGCTTTGACAAATTGGCATTTATTATCAATTCATTTGAACTCCTTTAAAGTCTCTGTATCTGCTTGCTTTTCATGAATGCTCTTCCTAATAATTTTCAGAAAGAAAATTGAAGGTCTAATATCAGCTTCTCTCAAAAATTTATTACTCATACTCTCACTCTCTCCCCCAAAGAACCTAAAATTTAGTAGAAGGCAGAAACAGTGTAATCATACATATCCTAGAGAACAGCTACAGCAACCCCCACTTCCCAAAGCAGAATTGTCAGTCTTTATGTCTTCAACCTTTCTTTATAAAGACCTGAAAGAAACTTTCAACAATACCGCATTCCTAAGGCACAGTAATTACATACATCTCATGAAGTTTAGTCAAAAGCCATCAAAATTAAAACTAGATTTTATACAATTAAAAAGGGTACAGTGGTCCAAATACCTACCTGTATGACTGTTGAAGTGTGCAAAATTAGCAAAATTCGCTGTAGCAGTTGACTGAGGAGGGGCAGCAGCAAAGATATCTGAGCCAAGGTCACTGAGGAGGTCAAATTGTTTCTTTTCTTGTTGCTGCTGTCCTTGAGATCGAACTACAACAGGAGACTACAAACAAGATTTCAATTAGCTAGTACAAAAAGGTGGTGTTTTACCAAAGTGACATTTACAAAATATTAGAAGGCTAGACTAAGCTTATTTCTTTAACAACACATTTATTCCTGAAGTTTAAGATGATGTATGTAGTACACACCCTCCTCCTACAGTATAAGGAAGATTATTTATATGCTATTACTCTGGCTCTTAAAGCAACTCTTGAAGATTTACATGGTTTAAATGCACCCAGAAGACTAAAGTAGCAAGATATTATTAGCAACTTCAGATTTTGCATTTGAAACTGTAAATACTGTACAAATACAAGCAATAAAACTTAATTTTACAAGACAGAAAATATTTATTCACTACATTCTGAAAAAATCATTAGAATTCAGTATAAGAGAGAAAAATTGAAGAATTTAATAGCAAGGCTTGAAGTTGCAATTTTCTACTGTTTGAGTTAAAAGAGGTCAATTTAAGAGTTGCCTGTATGCTGACAGCAGTTTTTAAACAAACTGTTTTCCCTCCAAAAATCTAAGTACACAGTGTTGTTTGACTTTACATTACAGCATAAGACAGTTTCAGAACGCATAGGAAGTCATAATAAATATGACATGCTTTCATCCACATAGTCACTACTAATCTCACAGTTAACATCATCAGTCATTTTCTTATTTTCAGAGAGAAAATGCAAAAATTAAAATATAACACATTAGATCTAAACTTGAGGTATTTATGCAAAAGACAATTAATTAATCCTATCACAATGGAGAACTCTATTTACTGAAAATAACCATTAAAAATCAGTTTGGTCAATAGAAACAAACTTCTTTTAGTATCTGATCTGCAAACATGTATATACTTCAGAAAAATATACAACATACAGTGATCATATTAGTTCCTATAGATCACAGCAGCTGTTACTGCAAGAATTTTTGTGCCACTGAAAGAGCTACAAGGACTGCAAACAGTCCTGTGCCCCTCAGCAATCATTACTCACTTGGCTAGGTGTGCCCTTGTTTAAGTGCAGTGCGGGTGCAGCTTCTCCCAAGAGAGATTTGAGTGGCTTCACCTCAGGTGTGCTGCTTGTACTACTGGCAGAAGAGCCCGAGATGGATGCATGGACTGATGCCACCACCTTTGCTTGCTCTGGAGGAACATACCTATATGCAAGAAGAGCACTGGTTTTTACAAGTTTCACATGGAAGTTCTTGAGTCTGAAGTTGAGACCTGGCAGATCTCAGCTTTGCGCCTGAACCCTGATCCTGCAATAGACTGCATCAGTAGTTTGCAAAGTACCTATTCTTTAAATATGACAGAGTTGGTTTTTTTTAACGGACTAGAATTTAAAGTTATCAATATTTTTAGCACTTATTCAATAAATCATAATAATAAATCAGATGGGAAATAACAGTTTGCAAAATTGTTACTTTACACTGTTGTTGACATCCTCTTATGCCATTTCTGTTCCATCAATATGAACACTGAGAAACTTGTTTAGTTTGCCTTCTCTGCTTCCTATAGGAGCTCTACATAAAGTTCAGAAATCATTTCACTTTAGAGTGTGTAATCTAGTCTAAAGTGCAGATTCAAAGAAGGAAATAACATTCAAAATGAGAGCAAACAGTCCATCTTCACTCCTCATCACAGGGGCAATCTTTCTAATAGTAAAGGTATCTTACCATCTTTTCTTTTCATATTTTTCCTGTAGAAATTCCTTTACTTTCTGTGGATCCCTGAAGTCTGGAATTGCTGATGATCTATCATCAAATAGGCCGAGCCAAATCTGTTTGCACACCTTAAATAAAAAAAAAACCACAACAACACAGATTAATCAGAGAAAATCCCTTAATTCAAAACTTAAATAAGTTTACTATTGTCAATACATTAAACCATTAAAGTGTGTGGCTGCATAATTTATATTCCAGACTGAGCTGCTGTAACAACTGACTGGTGCATCATGTACTGGTCTAAATACCTGAAGCTGCCCGTCACAGCAGGGCAAGCAGATCCCAGCATCCAATTTCATCATTCAACACTCCTTTTCCAAAGTATTTGTAGAATGTGCTCATGAAATGCAAGGCACCTGATTTCTACTTGCAATCTTTAAAATTCTTCTCCTTCACCTAATTCTATACATTCCCTTACCATACTTCAGGGCTTAAACTGTTTCAACAGATTCCATATGCCTTAAGCCTCGAATGGTAGATTTTAAAGAATCCAAGGTTCAGTATTTATACTTTTAATTACTATTTGAGTACAAGAACTGTTTTTTCAACAGCCTTTGTTACCATGATGCAGTTTCTACAATACCATATACATTTGAATGATGGTATGAGATAAGGGGTAAAAATACTCATGCTCCAATTTCGTTTTCTAATTGTAGCTGTGAGTGAGCAGAAGTTTAACCACTTGCAAAATTCTCAGTATGTTCAAACTTTAATTCCTGAGCAAAACAAGAGGAAAGGTGTTCTCAAAACTAAAGCAGATGTAGGAGTTTTAACATGAAATGTTTTAAGCCCTTCAGACTACTCTGCAAGTAACCTGAATATGCACCCAAACAATAACACCAAACATTAGCTGCCCTCAAAAATCACAGTGCCGTTTTAGAACAGGTTTCTTCCAGAGAAGCAGAGTCAAAAAAGCTTTGTTTTTATGATGCATAGCTTTTCTTCCCACACCCTTTCTGAAATAGCCCTGACCATGCCTCCTACCTGCCTACTACAAACATGCCCTCTATCCCTGCAAGTGTCAGGTTTTCAACATTGTCCCCAGTGACCTTCAGGCTCTAACAACCAAGAGCTGCAAAACTGATTGCTCTGAAAGCTGGCAAATCAAGGTAGAAGCTGTGATACTCCCACCTCAGCATCCTCCCTAAACTACTTGGCAAACATGATAAATCTTATAGGTCATTTCCAAGATTGCTCAGCATTAGAGAGATCAGGCAGACATCCTAACTATGTATTTCATTTTTGATGTTTCAGCTCTAAATAGTCCAATTGCATATTCAACACCTAACAGTCCTTATTACCAACATTATCATCATCCTACTGGATAGAGACAAACAACAACAGGAAACAGATCTAATGATCAAAAGATATTTTTAAATGAGAATTTATATAGCTAATTTAGAGCTAAGATCAGTAGTTACTATCTCAAACTCAGCAACTTTGCATTCATTCTGCAATTGTACTCCACAACAGGATCAAGTTCAACGCACTGATTTGAGTTCTCAAAATCAAACAGTCATTTACAGTATAGTAATAGATAAAACGAAGCTTTATTATTTAATACATCTTCATATGAAATTAGAAGACAAACTTAGTCAAAAAAGTCACAAGTCTGTTCTAAAGTAAAAGCTAATATCAAGAATCACTGTTTTAGCAGTATCAATCTTTCACTACTTTTTGGTGACAAAATATATAAAATCAGAATATTTATGTGTGTAGCTTTAAACTTGCAGTGAATAGCCTGAAGTGAGCCAGCAGTAGTATTTCCATACTTAGATTTGTGAGTATAACTATACAAGCAGCAGTCATATGATTGCTAGGAGGAAGAGAAGTCCTGCTTGTGGCTATTTACAGAATCTCTAGCAGCAGGAGTTGGTGGTGCTCAAATCTACACAGTCCCTCCCCAACCCCAACTTCAATATTGGAAAGAACATCAGGAAACACTGAAGAAAAGAAAAATTGGGCTCAATTTCAGACAGACAGAAAGACAAATGTTACAACAGCCCCCACTTGATTCTGCACCCAGCCCTGTAACACTTGGGGCTCTACCACGATAATCAGTTTGCATCCAGCCTGAGATGTGCTGGCCAATGACAGAGGAGGCCTCCTCCCCATCCTTATCAGACCATCCAATTACTTCTGCTTCTCCTGCCATCCAAAACAAGTCAGATCAAAGAAACTCATCACAATTACCATGCCACTGCTACCATTGAGACCTAGAGATCAACTCACAGCAACAAACCACAACCCAGTTTTTCATGTTTATCCCTCCCAGTTTTCTGCTTCATCTTCCCCCTGAAGTGCCTAAGCATTTGGAGTAGGGGGGGAAGAAAACCAAACAAAAAACCCTCACAACAACCAAACAAAAATCCCCAACAACTAACAATCCAAACCAAAAACCACCACAGCTCGTGTCAATGTCTCAGGCCATCATGACCACTACAGGCAGTTTCTGTGAGGACTCAGAAAACAAGGTGCTGTGTGGCTCCAGATCATTAGCAGCTACAGAGCCATAGTAGATCCAGTTCTATGAATATGCAAAGAGGAACGGAGGAGGACTGTGCTGAACAAACACCTGTTCGTTTAAAATGATGCAAGCTTCTTAAAGGCATCAGCTCTTGCCATTGCATTGCAATTTCTGCAAACCTTCAGAAAACCTTTCAGGCTTCCAAAAGTGTTTCCTGGAGCAACTAATTCCTTCTAAATACCTAACCACAAAAGGAAGTAACAAGTGAAATATGCCTTAAGTCACTACTATAATTAATTTAAACAAACTGCCAGGCACTCTGTGTTCTTCTGCTGCTGGTAGCACAGAGAACAGTTTTACTAATGGGCAACCAATTTTACTACCAGTTTTATTAATGGACAACCACTAAGCCAAAGAGCCTACTTAGTCACACACACTTCAGCAAGACATTCTCATTGTACCAGTATGACTGCAGGAGCTGCAGAAAACCAGTGTAAAACATTTACCACACCAAATGCAAATTAAATTCCACCTAGGTTTCTTAACCTAAAGAGTTATCAGAGGAAGTACAATTTCTTAAATGTTCTTAAAATGGACCAGTCTTAAACCAAAACCAGACACCCACAACAGATAAGAGTAGTCTGGATTAGTGGGACTGATGGAAAGAAACCATAAGATTGTAAGTGGGTGTACAACATGACTGGAATATGAAGGGTAAATCACATCCTCATAAGGGCATTTCAGACCATGCTTATGCCAAAAAAAGGCTGTTTTGTCTTCCTACTACAGTTGGGCTTGATGATCTTAAAGGTTTTTTCCAACCTACACAATTGTGACTTAAGTCCTTTGGAAAGCTGTATCTTATGAAGTTTTAGACCCACACCAGAAACCATGGAAAGGCACATATTTCTGTCTGAAGCAGCACACAATGCTTTCAACATCAGCAGCCATTCCAAGCAGGCATTCAGAGCCCAATAAAAGGCTCATTGTCTTCCCTTGTTTGCTGGTGACCTGTGTGCTCTGTCTAGCTATACTTCTGCTACCATCATCTGACTTGACAGGATCCACAACACTGCATTGATTATGCTTCAAGTGAACCACAAAACAATTTTCAGCCATCTAAAAAAAACACAAACGGCAGAGAGCTGTGCAATACCACAGGATGAAATGAAAATTGAAAAATAAAATTTAAAAAATACTGTTGACAAAGACAGAACTCACATCATGTAACTGTGTTTTCTTGAAGTAGTTATCTGTCCATAGTCATTTTAAAGTAAGTCACCAACAGTCCTGAATCTTGTGCAAAGAAACAAGTTTGCTGTGAGAAATTTTTTTTTTGCTTTATTTTTATTGATCAGGTCATCACATTTTTTTGTTTCAAAGCTAATCAAAAGTTACTCTTGTGATAAATATCAGGCAAACTTATGCCATACAACTTGCTGTTTATGGTGGGGGAAGATTACTCAGCATTTATACCTCTGGTACCCTGATTACTCCCTACTAATTCACCATCTGAACTGGATAGATACCAAAAGATTCATTAGAACAGCAATAAAAACCAGCACAACTATAGAAAGATCTGGCAACTTTAGTTGCCAACACCTCATCACAAGCTTCAGTGCTATGTTCTGTCTGGCCCAAGAGCTGCCCAGGCAGGACACCTGAAGAGCACAGTTACTCAGCACAGCCATCCACAGCATGTGCTCACTCTTGCAGGGCATTACTTGCAGGACATGGGAGCACAGAGAAACTGCAAAAAGGCATTAAAGCAAATGTAAACCTGCACAAACCAAGGCCTTAAACAAGCAGTTACTCTACTAAACACATTATTTAATACAAATTCACTATCTGAAAAAAAATCCAAGGAAGTAATTGTTCACAATTTTAGGTAATTTTGAAAACATATGTTTTGAGAAATTTGAACTCGATATCCCAAGGAGTATGTATTTCAAACCACCCCTCTAACAGCTCCATATATAAATCACACTTGCAGAGCTCATTCAGAAAATGCTACTGCTCAAGTTGTATGACACATCTTCAGTCCCATTTTAACAGAATTACTCATTCCTTTGCTTTTACAGGTAATATATGAACCATCATCCCAACTCAGCACACAATTACACAACACTACTATTAAGGTAGTGGGCCTAAAAATTTTATGACTTTCTGAAATCCTTCTACATTGCACCATCTCATTGGGAATACTCTGGTTCAGCCATTTAATATTAATATTGTTCTTTCTGCAACAGCAGCACAAATAAGCATGTGCTCAAAAGCTCTGTTTATTTGCTGCAAGCTTTGCTATACTCCTCCTTTTGATAATCACAGCTCTATCAAATAAAATGCTCTGCTTAGAGAAGAGCCTGACAAGCTCGAGCCAAGAGTAAACATTCAAGTTATGTGGAAGCCCCTAGAAACAGTGGAACATATCCAACAATCCATAATCATTGTCCACTGTCCCTGAAAAGTGTAATTAGTCCATGTCCCACTGGTTCACCAACCGAGCAGAGGAAAAAAAAAGGAGAGCATTGAAGTCAGAATGACTAAGCGTATGCAGCATTTGAAAGTCTACTTTTGTTGAAGGCTTGACAGAAGCAATAC